TTTGCGAGCGATGCTCCTTTCCCGCATCAGACCAAGTCATATGCTGCGCGAGGTATGATTTCGAAGTGGTCTCGCTGATTCACTGTGCTCCTTTGTGCTACAAAAAAGACAGAAGGTAGATCATAGGAGGGGGGGCGAGCATACATATATACATACATTACAAACAAAACGGTCGACCCTGGGGAACTCGAATCTTCCTACCCTTCGCTCGCCCAGTGTAGTCTTGAGACTCGTTTAGCCGATCCCAGTCCCCATGGGCGTTGCCTGGGCCCCGCTGGCCGATGCACCCCCCCCAGATGGGGATACAGGCAGTGTCCTTCAGGTGTCGACGGGTGTATCCCCAACTGGGCTGCTGAGATGGTGGGTTGGGCAAGGACCGACCGTCACCGCATTCCTATAGTCCCAACACGAAATGTCCTTAGAGCCCAACAATATTCTCAGAACAAAAGCAATATTCTTAGAACTAGAGCCTTATGTGTTAAGCCAAAACAGACCCCGCCAGAAATGTTCTGAGAACATTTCGTGGGAACCACACGAAATTCTTAACACATCGTTTGGTAGGGCTATAGGCGAGCCGGGACGCTTTGCCGCTGCTTGACAACTGGCCTGCTGAGATGGTGGGGGTCCGGATGGGGATGGGGACTTTGTGGGCCCCGGACACGGCAGGGCAATTTTTTCACCGTTTCCGAAAAAATGTCAATTGAAAATGGAAACGGCAAAACAACGGCGACCGGAAACGGCAAAAAACGGCTCCAGGATCGGAACCGGAGCCAAAATCGGTCAAACAACGGCGACGGAACCGGTAACAAATTGCGTCGGAACCGGCAAAAAAACTGCAAAACGGAACCGGTAACAAAAACGGCCCTGTCGTTTCCAGGGCCCACTAAGGATGGGGATATGGGGATGATGGGGTCGGTTATACGATGCTGACCTCCGCATGCCCAGCACAGTCCGCATTCGCTGGCGGGCGCAGGCACGCCTGGCCTCCAAACCGAAGCCGAGCTGGCGGCCGGCCCGGGTGGGAAACCGCCTGACGCCACCACCACCACTGAGCCGTGCGTCCGGAGGGGCGCGTGGGCAGAAGAGTGCGCGATTTGACGAGCGAACAACTCACACCCACACCCATAGGAGGGTCGAAAGGAGGGGAACTGGCTATGGGTATGGGTGCGAGTTGTCGGACCCTGGGGGAAACTCCCGTTCGAGCGGGGACCCCCATCCGACAACACGCACCCATAGCCTCCTCCGTCCCCCCTATGGGTATGGGTGCGTGTTGTTCGATCTCACGATTGGCAACTCTTCAGGAACATATGACTGAAACGGCGTTGCAGAGCGACTGCGTGCCCGCACAGGCCCGACTGCGAAGCAGAAGCGGGATGCCTCGCGACTGCGTCGCGGAACCACCGCACGCCTCAAGACTGCCCCCGTGAGGCTCCACCAGGCCCCCAGACAGCTCCCCAGGCGTCCGCAAGGGTCCCCAAACGGGGCCAAAAAGAAGCCCACGGCGCCCAACCCTGCTCCCCGCTTCTTCTGGGGGTTCGGCGACATGGCGTGAGCCTCTTGAGTAGAGGCCCGACACCACTGTGGGGGGCCCGCTGCACGGCCTACGGCAGGCTCTCGGACCACCTGCCAGACCACCCCAGCCCAATCCGAAGACCAACGACGCCGCCCCCCCTCCCTGGGGAAGGAGGGCAAATTGGAGCTTTCGGGTTGGGTTCGGAGGGTTCGGTGAACAATGACTCTCGCGCTGGCAAGGCGGGTCCGTGAGCACAAGCCGCATGGGGCAAAAATACGCTGGACCCTGCCACAACCACAATTGCCTGACAATGCCACAGCATGCTTGTCAACAATCGCAGTATGAACGCATCCACCACAAAGTCCTGCGAAATAATACCACAATGCGAGTGCGACCGACACGCCGCGAGGAAACTAGACCCTGTCTGCACCGCAACATCTGTGAACAACAGATAAGCTCACAGCAAAAAAAATGACGCCAAACATTACACAAGAAATTTTGGGCACCAGTACGCCTGCATTCACCAAACATGCGCAAGGGAACACCACGCGGGCATGTAAGCATGCTGATGTGCTCGGAACAGGGGAAGTGTGCTTGACCACCGTACGGCGAGGGAGACCATAATGTGTCATACACATGCCATATGGCGAACACGGCTGGTATGCACAAAAACATGCCTGACACTGCCGATGCCACAATAGCTTGCCATCGCTACCTTCTACCGGCGATCGCTGTCTCCGTGATCGCCGCAATTACTACCATCGAACGCGACATGCTTGTGAGAATCCCTACGTGCTTGCGACGACCCAACGGCCAAGGAGTCTGGAAATTGCCAATAACTTCAAAACCTGCGAACGCCACACGGAACCACAACAGCATGTCAGACGGCACCAGTACCGCGATAGCTTGCGAGTATGTCAACCGAAAGGCCTGCGAATGCCAACTAAATCCTGCGAGCTCCCCATCCCACAACCTGGGAGCTCCCCATCCCCCTACGTCGCGACGTGTCAACGAAAGCCACATTACGCATGTCAACACCAATTCAAACCGCGAACGCGGCAACATGCTTGTGATCTCACACTGACTCTGAGCGTCGCAAAATGCTTGCTTGCTTGCTTGCTTGCCTGTGAGTCGCCCACGCGTGCCTTCGATCACCGTCGCGCTACGTGCCGCAAGCGGTGGCAATGGCAGCGAGCAATGGCGGAGGCTACGCGTCATCGATTGAGCGCGCGGGGAGGTCGGGAGTCACATCACGCGCGTAATGTACCAGCGTCAAAACCAAACCAATTTCTAGAGGGGGAGAGGAGGACGCGGACCGGGGGATGGGGATGAAGTGGTGGTGGGAGGGAAGAAATGGGGAGGGAGGACGAGCGTGGGGGGGAGAGGAGGGGGGGAAACGGAGAAACAAATAGATGGGAAAGGAGGAGGAGCATGAGAAACGTTCGGGGTGAGCCCCACCGCATCCTTCTGCTGCTGCGGCAAGTTCATGTCGTGCCAACTTTGGCGCTGATTCTTCTGACACCGCGGGGGACCGTTCAATCTCAACCCATTCTGGGTCGCCCGCGGCGCTCCACGCTGGAACGGCGGCGGACAGGTCGCCGCCAGCCGACACGACGCGAACCTGCCCTGCTCCCTCCTCCCTCCTCCCTCCTCCCTCCTCCCTCCTCCTCCTCCTCCTCCTCCTCCTCCTCCTCCTCCTCCTCCTCCTCCTCCTCCCCCTCCTCGCACGCCGGGCTCGTGCCCCACGAGTCCTGCCGAGGCGGCGCGGACCACGCGGGCGCCTCGGCCGGCGGCGCGTGCAGCGCCCGGCGGAGGAGGGAGCAGCGGAGGAGGGCGGGGCGCGAGCGGGCGGAGAGCGGGGAGGCGGCTGGGCGAGGGGCCGCCAGCAGGCGGCCCGAAGAGGTGGGCGGCGGCGCAGCGCCCGCCCCGCCAGGCCTACCGCAGAGGGGGGGGCCGAAGTCGACCCTCCGTGGTGGGCCCGACGCCATCTGCTCTTCCCCATGTATGAGCCAGGAGGACACGACGCCATCTGTTCTTCCCCACGTGCGAACCAGAGCTGCTCCACGCCTCCATGTCCCGCCCTGTGTTTCATCGGCACGCAATCCCAGACGGCGGCGGACTCATCCCTCCGCTGCTGTCATCCGTCCTCATCCGCCCTCAGTGTTTGTTCACAACGCTCCACTGCCTGCTGGTCTCTATCCTTCTTCTCCTCCTCAGCCTCCTCATCCTCCTCCTCCTCCTCATCCTGCTCCTCCTCCTCCTCCCCCTCATCCTCCCCCTCTTCCTTTTCCTCGTCCTATTCCTCCCTGAATGAGGCTGTCAATAGCACAACTGTCGCCCCTTTCATGGGCTTCTGGAAGTTCCATCGGAGCGGAGCGACACGCGAACACAGACGAGACCTCGCGGCTCCCAGAGGGGCTGTCAACTTGGGGAGTGTCGCCATTTTCGTGAGTCCCAGGGGGTTCCAGCGGAGTGGTGTCCAACCTGCGCAACTGTCTCCCCCCCTTTTCGTGGGCTCCTGGGAGGTCCAGGGCAGTGGTGTCCTACGCACACCCAGACTGGCCTAGCGTTTCACGGAGGGGTGGGGGACGTCGGGGGACGTCCAAGCAATGGTGTCCCGAGAACGTCCAGATCGGAACTCGCGCCCCTCAGCATGGCTGCCGCCTGCGCAGCCTGCCGCAACATTCACGAGTTCCCAGGGTGTTCAGCGGAGGTCCTTCGCACACCCAAAACTCAACCTCGCTCCGTCCGCTCCTCCCGCGCCTCACACTCCTGCTCCTGCTCCTGATTGTTCCTCGTCCTCCTCCTCGTTCCTCCCCCTTGACGTCTTCCTGATGTTGTTCTCCTCTTGCTCATCCGCCAACTCCTCCTGCTCCCCCAGATGCGCACAACTCCCAACTTTCCACTGCGCATCATACGATTTTGTGTTTTTTTGGGGGGGGGGCATGGCCGCTATCTATGGCACCCGTCAGCGGATAGGGAAACAGTAACACAAATGGGAAGATATGGGGGTGGAGGATTAGGATGCGCCAGACGTTTCGCGAACCCGCTCTGCTTTCCTTTGTACCCCTCCCCCCTCCCGCATGCCTCCTCCCTCATCACCCACGCGTCGGCCCTCCTCCCGCGACGGTTTTTCAGCGCAATGGGAAGGGATCCACATGGGAGGGTAGGATGCCAGACACGGCGCGAACCCGCCCAACTTGCTCTCTACCCCTCTCCCTCCCGCAGGTCTCCTCTCTCATCACCTCATCACCCACTCGTCGATCCTCCTCCCGCGACGGTTTTCAGTGGCAAAGAAAAGTTTGAACTGAGGATAGAACTGCAGTCAGGGTCGGGGTGGGAGGCGAACCACGATTAGGAGGCTAGAGGATTGGAGCCAGAGCTAGAGAAAGAGAGAGAGAGAGAACAAAAAAAAGAAGTGAAAGGATCAAGAATGCGAGCGTCGGAGACTCAGAAAGAATCGTCTAGAGAGCTTGGTATCGATCTCGGCAGCCAGGGCGGGCGCGTGATGACTACCGTGATGACCGCCGTGATCTGAGCCTCCGTGATCCTTCCGGCGCCGGCCGGCTCGAGAGGGCCAGCGCGGCAGAATCCGTGCGCACACAGCCACGCAGGCAATCGCAGCAGGGAGGCTCGCATGCGTCTGCCGCACGGCGGCTTCGCTTCGAAGACCGCCAGGGTCTTGCAGGGTGAGATCTGGAAGCCGCAGGGGGCTCGGGACCGCCCTTCTTCGCCACCGCCCACAACTGACGCCCCCCCCCCATTCGCGGTCCTCCTTGCTGCCAAGCCTCGGCTCTGCTCATCCCGCGCACGACGAGGACACGGACGAGCCACAATGGGGGGAACAACAAACTGCACAAACACACTCTTCCAACGGCCCGCGCGAGCTTCTTGGATGGGCGCTGCCCCCCCCCCCCCTTGCACGCGCAGCGAGCCGGGGGCGGGGCTCCCGAAAAGATGCCCGCTGGGGAACCCCGCGCGCACCGTCGATCGAAGACATCTGCGCGGACCGCCCACCATTCATTTTTTTTTGCAACTTGTTCTGCGTCGAGTCTCCATCGCGCCACGACAGCACGGAGAAGCCAGAAGACCATCGGACCGTGCGGAGGCTGGACATCTGCTGCACGGGGCCACAAAACACCGCCCGTGCAAGCGGCCGGCTCCGGCACCATCGCACAGGCCTCGTCTCTGTCAGGCGGGTGGCATGGACCGCAGCTGTGCCCGAGCCCGACAATCTGCCCGAGTGTGACTAGGGGGACAACCCAACTACATACATATATATAGACACATATAATATACATACATACATATATATGTATATGTATGTATGTATACATATTTACTTTCGGAGGTCCGCGCTGATTTCCTTCGAACGGCGCTTCCCTCCCCCCCTGGACCCGATCCGAGAAATCCGCGCGGACCTCTGAACATGTATGTTCCACGCCGCCGCTTTGCTCCCCGAGTGACCGAGACAGGCGCCCGAATCTGCCCGAACGCGCCAGAGAGTGACAGCAACTCTTGGCTCGAAACCAAAGTGATGTCCACTCTCGATTACAAGTTCGGCCACGCTACGTTCTCGGTCAAAATGTCGGGCACCTTTTCGGTCACAATGTTTGTTCGGTCGCCGACCTTTTCGGCTTATCAGGGCTGGGCGCCATGAAGAACCTTGCCCTCGTGGAATTCGGCGCCCGAATGATCGGGGATCACTAACAGTCCGGGGTAACTCCGGTTTGGGTCCGGGTCATCGGGCCAGTGCTAATGGGAAGCGACCCGAAGTGGGGGGTGAAAAGGGCCCTGAAGGGGCCCCTTTTTCGGCACCTGCTGGCTCCAAGAAGGGCCCTGAAGCCTGAATGCCACCTTTCCGGCCGTTTTCTTCACCCCCAATTTGGGTCACCCCCATGACAGCCCGCCCGAGGGTAGTTTTAGGTCGGGCATGTTCTCCTAAAGGCGGATTTTGAGAGAAGATTGAACCATAATCAACAATCCTCAAAACACGTCAACAGAAGATGGAATAATAACGTCACAGAGTCACAATGCATCAACAATAATCAGAAAAGCACGAGCAACACGTCATCATACTATGTTTCACTACTCTTGAATATTCCTCCTGTAGAAGGAACATGCCCAACTTAGAGGTAGCCATGCCTGCGCTTCCAGTCAACCTGCCCACTGACCTGCGCCGGCATCCGTAGGGCGGGGTGCCCTTCTCCCCTCGCTGCACCGACCGCGGGGCGAAGCTCTCCCTGGAACCCGCTCAGGCCGGGGCCCACATCCGCAGCTGCGTGTGAGAGTGAAGGGGGCGGGTCGCGGGGTGGGTCGCGGGTGGGTCGCGGGGTGGGTCACGGGGTGAGTCGCGGGGTGGGTCGCGAGGCGGGTCGCGAGCGGGTCGCGAGCGGGTCGCGGGTGGGTCTTCATGGACTGTTGAGAAAACATTGCGCAGTACATGCGGGTGACCTTCATCCGATGCTTCTGCGCAGCGCAATTTCAGCTGACGAGCCCCTTGAGAACCAAAACTACCTGCGCTTGACACACTAAGCACACCAGCATCCATGCAGGCTTGATTGTCCCTTCGATCAGGGGGGTCTGATGCGTGGGCGCGAGATCCACGGATCGGGAAGCCTGAAGCATGGCGCCAATACCGCCTGATTCTGCAACGGAGCGCGCTGATTTCGCACGGGAACAGGACCCGTCGCTAACCCGCGCGCCTTCACAGTCCACGTGTGCGTCTTATCGACAGGCGGCGCGCGCTCGGGCGCTCCCCCTTGCCGTACATGCCCTGGTGTCGCGCCAGCGTCACCTCGCACGCCTTGTCGGCCCCCGGGAAGGTCAGCACGCGGTCGGCGCTGACCTGGCGGGGCGTGCTTCAGGAGCAGCGCGGCCCGGCCACGGTCGAGGCGCGGGAGGGAAAGGTCCGACCGACCGTCTCGCCGCCCGTAGGGGAGCGAGGAGGGACGTGACGGGGGCGAGGGAGGCCGCGGAGGCCGCGAAGGGGCGAGGCGCCCGAGGCCCGAGGCACGAGGCAGGGGAGGCAGCGGGGGGGGGGGGGGGCAGCGAGGCCGCGGAGGCAGCAGGGGGGGGGGGGGGCAGCGGAGGCAGGAGGAAGGGCAGGCGTGTGCGCCAGGAGGAGGGGGGGGAGGGAAGAGGGCCGAGTGTGCGAGAGGGGGGGCTGGGAGGATTGGGGGGGGACTGTGCGCGCGGGCTGCGCCTTGCAAGGGGGGGGGCCCTCGGGGCAGGTCCACCCTACCGTCGCGAGCGCGGACCACCCCCAGGAGGGCCTGCGGTCCAGCGCGACGGAGCAGCGGGTGGCACCCCGAAGGGGCGCCCGGGAGGATTGCCCCCCGGGGCAGGGCACGAGTCTCGCCATCGCTCGGGTCGTCCATGCCCTGTTTTTGTGTCGGTTTCGTGCGTGTGTTCTTCGCCAAGTGATGAAGGATGCTCCTCGACGGCCCTCGCCGAGAAAAAATGCACACGTCCGAGCGATGCCAAGACCAAAGAGTGGAGTGGTGCCCTGTCCTCCGCGGGAGGCAGGGGATCCCTGCCGCCAGCGGCCTCCCTCGGGCGCCCAAAAGACACCCAAAACGGCCCCAGAGGTGTCCTAGAAGGTTCCGTATAAACCCAAGGAAAGGGAAATCACTGGCCTTGTGAGCTTCTGCCCCAAAGATAGCACCTAGAGACCCCTAGAGGCCCCCATGAAGCCATTGAGAGGACCCAAGATGCCTCCTAGAGATCCTGAAGAAACCCTAGACGCCCCCTAAAGGTCTTCAAGACGTCTCCAAGACGGCATGGCGGAACGGAAGAGCAGTAAAGCAGACGAACAGGGCAAACCAGCGCCCAGGCTTTACGCGTTCTGGACGTGAACCCCGAAAAACGAGAGGACCACTAATTACCACAAACGCTACACGGATGGAGCGCGGCTCCTTTTCAAACTGGGTCCCTCGTTGGAGACTTCTTCCAAGCTTCTGGCCTTGAACTGTATGGAGGGTACCTGCTCTCGCTCAGCACCTCCTTGGAAATTTTGATCATGCGTCTTCGCCTCAAAACGGGGCTCTCGCCTCGTAACAAAGAGGATACTTCCCGTTTTGGCGAGGAACGCTTGCATTGACTCTTAATAAAAAGACCCGGGATGGGTGTATCGCAACATCGTCGACACATGCTGGTTTTACCGTCAGCCTTCCCCGCCCGCTTCAAGGCGACCTGACCAGTGATTATGGCGAACCAAAACATCGGCGCGCCCGAGATATCGCCAGCCGTGGGAAAAAGCCTTCTCCATGATTCGTTCCCTCCACGTGGAGTGATCAAAGTCTGGTTCGCAATGTCTTGGTTCAAATGAGAATGCGGAAAAACGTTCAGTGCGAGCGCTCGAACCGAGCATCGTTGCCACTGCAACGCGTGAGTGCGCAGAACTATTTTGCATGAGTAGCTACAGGGGCGCAAGTTTGCGTGCAGTATCTGTTGCATGAAAATGTCGAGTGAACCGTAGCCACCGGGGCTCGAGACTAGCAGTCGCTGGGCACGACATGGCGCCAAGCGGCAAGAACTGAGCAGTCATAACTTCAGAGCTCGTTGGCTCCATAGGAGGGTCTGACCACGTCGGGCGTTGCTGAATTCGCAAGCGAGCGAGGGGGGGAAGTGAGACAGAGACGGCCTTCTCAGAAGGTCCGGAAGTCCCCTGGCCTTCTGAGAAGCTTTGACAGCATTCCGCGAGAACAGCAAAACAACTGCTCAGAAGGCGCGAGGGCTTCTGAGCCGCCTTCGGCGGAGGCCTTCTCCTTCTCAATCCCCCCCTCGCTCGCCGCCGAGTAATGGGGGGCGATGAAGAGGGCTGGGAAAGAACAAAAAAAACGCCCTTCGCGTGCCCCTGCTGGGCCCCAGGAGTTCCCTCGAGGGCCCCTCGCGGGCGTACGATACGCACCTCTCTTCACCCCCCAAACCATTCATCGCCCGCCCGCCCGCCTCCACTGCAGAGGAGGCCAGTCCACAGGAAACCTTCCAAAAGAAACCCAACCCTGAGAACCCAGGACGTCCCTGGATTCTTGGTGTCGGAGCGTCGCGCTGTCCAGGGCGAAACCGCCGAAGCGCAAGAAGCCCAGGGCATCCATAGCGGCAAGCTGGGTGTTTCTTGGCACGGGCCTCCACTCTACGCAACGCCATGGCCACTCCTGGCACGGGGCGGCCCGGGGGCTGCCGCGCGGAGGGCCCGGATGGCGGGCCTTTGCGTTCCCCGCCTGCTCGGGGGTGTTGAAAGTGATAAACGCCCACTGCCTGGCGGCAACCGGCCCGCCCTTCGGACGACCGACGGCGGAGCCAGAGCCATCCGCTACCTCCTCATCGTCGTCCTCCCTCCCACATTGTCTGGTCCGCCGGCGCCAGCGAGGCAAGCACGGTCAAGCATCAGGAGGGGCACTACGAAATCGAACTGCGGCACGGAAGTAGCCGGGCAGAGGAGAGGGGCGGAGAAAGAACGCACCGCGGTGTGAAAATGTGACGTCGTTCGCGCGTGCGATGGAGGTGCGCCAGTAGAGCACGACGAAGGCGTGGAGAGCCCCTCCCGCTCTCTCGTCTCCCAGTCACCCCCATTGCCTGATCGTGTTTCTCGTTCTCCTCTTCCACCGCCTCTGTGTCCTCCAGCCCGCCTTCTCGTCCTGATGCGGCTGGCCCCTCCCCCTCCTCATCCACCTCGGCCCTCCTCTCCCCTCCCCCCCTTTCCGCCATGCGTGTTGTAGCTTCGTTTTGGCCCGTGGGGTGCACAAACCAGAACTGGGACCGATGATCTGCCCGAGGGCGGCCGCAAACCTAGGCCCAATGCTTTCCGAGTGTGACAGGGCGAGGCAGATAGTTTTGGTTCGGCACCAATACGACATCCATAATCGATCATAACTTCGGCCACGCTGCGTTTTCGGTCACGTGTTCAGTCACATCAGCGTGAAGGGGCCGAACGTTCATTCGCTGTCCCTGGATGCTGGCTAAAAAAGAATCGCATGGCCTGGGTTATTGTTGTTGTTGCCTGCTGTTTGTACAGACAGTTTCAGGCGGAACATCAAATCTGTGGGTCCCCTCTGAGCGGGGCACGTTGAATTTGTCAATTGAAGTGCCCCTCGCGGGGATCGCCCCACGTGTTTTGTTTGCCTGGGGAAGTTCGGCGCCTCACCCTGTGCCCCCGACCCCTTGTGTACAGCATCCACGGCCTGCCCCCTTTGACACGTCCTCGGAAGTCCCCCGCGCAGTGCTTTCCCTTTTTTGGGGCGTTCTACTTCTGCTCACTGGGCATCGCTCGGACGCCCATTCCCCGTGCCTTTTTCGGTCTCGTGCGTGGCTTCTTCGCCCAAGGATCAGGGGATGCTCCTCGATGGCCCTCGCCAGAGGAAAAACTGCACACGTCCGCGCGATGCCCAGCTCAAAGGAGCTGGGCCGTGTCTTCGGTCTGGTGGGCCACCGCCGCCGGCCCGTCGCCGCCCGTCGCCTGGGCCGCGTGTCTTCGGTCTGGGCGGCTGCGGGCGGCGCCGTCGCCGCCTCGTCGCAGCGCTCTGGACTGCACCACCTATAGGCTGCACCGCGCAGGCTGCACCGCACAGACGGCGACGCACATACTGCACAGCATAGGATGCACAGCACGTCTTGCAAACCACCGCTTGCACCAGATTCGGGCTGCAACGCATGTATTGCACAGCACAGGTTGCACCACACAGAGTTCACAACCCTATATTGCACCATCCCCTTTGCCCTCCCCGTGCACTTTCCCCGCTTCAAAGTCTCGAGCCTCGGAGGAACCTCTTCGAGCTTCCAGTGGCAACCGCGAGCTCCTGCCAGCACGAACGACGGTGAAGGCGGGACACCGACACCAAACGCAAACTCAATCATAGCCCGACCCACCCGTCTCTGCCCCTCCCGACCCCTTTATCGAGAGAAGGCAGGAGGCTTCAGCGGGCCAAACCGCAAGGCCACGTCAGGCAGTCCTCCCTCGAGCAGCCTGAGCCGCTCCGAGCACTATTGTTAGCTGGCCTGCATCTGCCCCCGCGTCGCGGGCGGGCCTTCGCGGCAGCAAACCCACAGGGCAGCAGACAACGAGCATACCGGGGCCGATAATCCAGCACACCTGAAACGCATTGCCACCGGTGGTCCCTTGACATCCCTGTGGGCCCCCCCGTGGCCAAGCAGAACTAACCGCTCCGACCCGGTCGCCCAACCGATCGCCCTTCAGAACATGTCCCTGGCTGCACGCGGGTCCAGACACAGGACCGGGTCGGGCCTCCGGGCCCTGGTGGTCCACATCCATCCCCGACGTCCCCATGCCGTCCTCGCTGCAGGCACGCGCCGGCACCCGAGGTGGCAGTCTGGGACAGAGTGAACAGCATGCTTGCGTTCAGTCCGCTGGCTCATGTCCCTTTCGTCTGGGACCTGAACCACCGCACAGCCCGCACTCGCCATCGCTCGGACGTCCATTCCCTGTGCCTTTTTTCGGGTTCGCGCGTGGGTTTTTCGCCAAATGATCAAGGATGCTCCTCGATGGTCCCCGCCGAAGGAAAAATGCACACGTCCGAGCGATGCCAAGCGCACGGACCAGGGTCCAGACAAATCTGGGGTAAATACAGCTCCATTCCGAGGCTCCAGTCCGAGAAAACCTGTCCCCAGGAGAAAACACAGCTGCAGCCCAATCTGGGTGTGGCTACGCCAATTCCACAGCTGCAGCCCAGCCGTGGGCGAAGAGGAGGATGCCCTTCGCCAGCCTCCATCGCCTGCCGAACCACAGGGCCCAAAGTTCTGCCCCCCTGGTCGTAGGTCGGGCATGTCCTCCTACAGGCGGATTTTGGGCGAAAAATGAAAGTAATCAGAAAAATGCTCAACAATATGCAAAAATAGTGCAAAAAAAACGTCCCCTTCCTATTTTTGGACTATTTTCCCCCAAACAGCTTGCTGAACGGGTTGCTGATGTGATAGAAGCTAACTCCAGCCGAGGGAAATCAAAGCATAGACGTCCTCAAAAAATTGGATGGTCTGGGCCGTTTCGCCTGAGACATCCTCGCAACTCTCGTTTCTGAATTGTCCAGGACTGGGCGATTCGCGTGAGACATCCTCCAAAACTCTGAGTTCCCAGATGCCGCGCAAGAGGTGGTCTGGCCCGTTTCGCTTGAGACATCCTCCAAACTCTGAGCTCCCAGATGCCGCGCGAGAGGTGGTCCGGCCCGTTTCGCCTGAGACATCCTCGCAACTCTGAATTCTGAGATGCCGCGAAAGAGGTGGTCCAGCCCGTTTCGCCTGAGACATCCTCCAAACTCTGGGCTCCGAGATGCCGCGCAAGAGGTGGTCCGGCCCGTTTCGCCTGAGACATCCTCCAAACTCTGAGCCCTGATATGCTGTGCGCGAGTTGGTCTGGCCCGTTTTGCCTGAGACATCCTCGCAACTCTGCGCTCTGATGCGGCGCGAGAGGTGGTCCGGCCCGTTTCGCTTGAGACATCCTCCAAACTCTGAGCCCCGAGATGCCGCCCAAGAGGTGGTCCAGCCCGTTTCTGTTGAGATATCCTCGCACTCTGGCATTCCGAGATGCCGCGCGAGAGGTGGTCCGGCCCGTTTCGTCTGAGAAATCCTCGAAGCTCTGAGCTCTGAGGTGCCGCGCGCGAGGTGGTCTGGCCCGTTTCGCTTGAGACATCCTCGAAACTCTGAGCTGCCGCGCAAGAGGTGGTCCAGCCCGTTTCGCCTGAGACATCCTCGCAATTCTGACCTCGGAGATGCCGCGCGCGACGTGGTCCGGCCCGTTTCGCCTGAGACATCCTCACATATCTAAGCTCTGAGATGCCATGCGCGAGGTGGTCGGGCCCGTCTCGCCTGAGACATCAACGCAACGCTGAGCTCTGAGACGCCGTGCGTAAGGTGGTTCGGTTTGTTTTGTATCAGATATGTTTGCAACTCTGTGCTCCCAGATGCCGCGCAAGAGGTGGTCCTGCCTGGGGGGCCAGAAGACCACATGATGCATATCGCCCCTGGGACCCTGGGAGCCCCAGGAGGCCCCAGAGAGCTTCAGGAGGCCGCAGGACGCCCAGGACAGGCCCCAGGGGTCCCCAGCAGATTCCCAGGAGGCTCCCAGGAGGCTCCCAGGAGGCCCCAGGAGGCCCCCTATCAGAACTTGTTTAGTTAATGCACGATTCGTTGATCTTTCCTGCTCTGTGATTTTTCCTGCTCTTGTGCCACATATTAGATATCCCCCCCTGAAGCATCAAGAGGCTTCAGGAAGCCCCAGGTGGGGTCCAGGAGGCCACAGGAGGCCCAGGAAGAAGCCCCAGGTCCCCAGGAGCCCCAGGAGGCCCCCGCAACTCGGACCTCTGAGACGCCGCGCTCGAGGTGGTCCAGCCCGTTTCGCCTGACACTTCCTCGCAGCACGTTTCGCCCGAGACCTCGTCGCAACTTTGGGGTCCGAGATGCCGCGCACGAGGTGGTCCAGCCCATTACGCTGGAGACATCCTCGCAACTCTGGGCTCCGAGATGCCCTGCGCGAGGTGGTCCGGCCCGTCTCGCCTGAGACATCAACGCAACTCTGAGCTCTGAGACGTCGTGCGCAAGGTGGTCCGGCCCGTTTCGCACAAGACATTCTCGCAACTCTGAGCTCCCAGATGCCGCGCAAGAGGCAGTCCAGCGTGGGGGCCCAGAAGACAACATGTTACATATCCCCCCTGGGACCCTCGGAGCCCCAGGAGGCCCCAGAGAGCTTCAGGAGGCCGCAGGACGCCCAGGACAGGCCCCAGGGGTCCCCAGGAGATTCCCAGGAGGCTCCCCGGAGGCCCCCTATCATAACAACGCGTCAAGTTAATACACATCCGGTGTCGATTCGTTGATTTTTCCTGCTCTTGTGCCCCCCCATTTTGAGGCCCCCGACGGCCACATGTTAGATGTCCCCTCCTGGGAGCCCCAAGAGGCTTCAGGAAGCCCCAGGTGGGGTCCAGGAGGCCACAGGAGGCCCAGGAGGAATCCCCAGGAGGCCCCAGGAGGCCCCAGGAGGCCCCCGCAACTGGGAGCTCTGAGACGCCGCGCTCGAGGTGGTCCGGCCCGTTTCGCCTGAGACTTCCTCGCAGCACGTTTCGCCCGAGACATCGTCGCAACTCTGGGGTCCGAGATGCCGCGCGCGAGGTGATCCAGCCCGTTAAGCTGGAGACATCCTCGCAACTCTGGGCTCCGAGATGCCGTTCGGGATGCAGAGGAGTTGGAGGAGGAGGAGGAGGAGGAGGAGGAGGAGGAGGCATGTTCAACCATGCAATGCCAGCCCGCACTGGACGGGAACGCAGTCGACCTTGGAAACAGCAATGGGTGTAAAAACCCTGTTTGGGGATACTGCACTCCGGCTACAAGTGAATATTCCTCCTGTAGAGGGACACGCCCGACTTCGGCTCAAGCATTCGTACATCAGCCATATAAATAACGAAACAGCTTTGCAGCGATGTTGCGCTCACAAACTGAGCGACACTCTGACGCGCAGGCAGTTGAAGCTCATGGGACATATTGCCCTGATGCCAAGGAACAACTCCGTGCGCAGGTGCATTTTCAAGCCTGGCACTTTCGAGCTCGTGCAGGCGGGGGCTCGCCGGAGGGGCCGGCCCCGCAACGCGTGGAAAATTCAAGTGTACGACCTTGCTTGCCGGACGGCGGGCGGCGAGGGAGCTTTGCATGCCTTGTGGCATCACGGATTGAACGTCTAGTTTCTCTTACGAGTTTTACGAATTCGATTTTATGATTGCTTTCAGGGAAGAAATGCACGATCTCGCGACGGCTTGGGTCGACTCGAGGCCTCGCCCACGATTGTCCCCCACCTCCCTTCTCCTCCTCCCGCACTCGCCTCCCGGAGGCGGAGCTCCGGCTGACCCTTCCAGGGCGCGCCGGCACCTCGCCTCCTCGGCCTGCCTCTTCCTCGCTCCACCCGCGCACGTCGTCTCACCCGGCTCGGCCCTGGGAGAGGGCCGCCTCGGGGGCGAAGGACTGCACGACGCTCTGCAGGAACGCGCCTCCTCGCCCTCCGTCCCCCTCTCCTCTTGTCTCGTCTCAGTGCCGAGCTCGCTCGGCCGCAATTCGGAGCGGAAATTCGTTCAGTTATTCGCTTGTATAATTTGGTGTGAGGCGGATGACAAGACTTGTAACATTTTACCTGTGCTTGGAGCCGGCGACGTTGGAGGTTTCGCATTGCCGTTCGCATTATCTTTGTTATGCCACTCCGTGCGGGATATCTCACAGGTTTGCTGCGCATCGCCACGGCGCAGTGCGAGCGGCCTATTTGAAGATACTGTCGTGTCACCCTCTTTTGCCAATGCACCTCTGACGTGCACGGCTTCTCTCTCTCTATCTCTCTCTCTCTCTCTCTTTCCCCCCTCCTCCTCCTCCTCCTCGACCTCCTCCTCATCCTCGTCGTCCTCCTCCTCCTACATACTCCTCCTCCTGCTCCTCCTACATCCTCCGCCTCCTCCTCGACCGTCTCCTCCTCCCCCTGGCTCCTGCTGCCCGTCGCTGTCTGGGCGACGAGGCTCTGTCCGAGCACCAGCAGCAGCGCCCACCAACGAGAACACGCTCACCCGCCCCCGTACACCCGCCCGTGGTGACCTCCCTCCCTCCCTCCTCGTCTTGCGCGACCGTCGGCCCTCCCTCCCCCGGCCCTTGCTCATCGCTCCGCCCGCCCTCACATCGCCCCCCGGACCATATCCTCCCGCCCCCGCACCCCGACCCCCGAGCTCTGCGGGCGCCTGCCAGGCTCCACGGGCTTGGTGTTGATGAAGAGGTCATCGATCTGCCCGTATCTGCGCGGGGCCACGCTCTTTCTGCGATGCGGAGATGAGGACGCCCATAGATGGGAGGAGCCGCCAAGGCGAGCGGAAGGGAAGAACAACCCAGGTCGGCAAGATTCGCCAACTCGGGTCAGCCCAGTGGCACATCACGCGAACGGATGCGTTCGGGTCCCCCCGACTCCTCCCTCGACCAAGCCTCTTCTCCCCCCATTCCCAATCACTCCCCCTCCCCCTCCCTCCGCTCCGCCCTCCTCCCCCTTCCCTTCCTCCGCAACATCGGACCGCCCTCTCACTCCTCACTTCTCCTCATGCCTACCCTCCCGCTCGTAGCGATCGTCGTTATCATCTCGTTTTCATCCTTACTCTCCACCTCCTCATCCCCCTCCTCCTCCCCCTCCTCCTCCTCCTCCTCCTCCTCCTCCTTCTCCTCCTCCTCCTCCTCACGCTCGCCCTAATCCCTCTTCATCCTCCTCCTGCTCCTCTTCCACCCCTTCCCACCTTCCCTCCATCCCGCTCCTTCCGTTCCTTCTCCTCCTCCTCCTCCTCCTCCTCCTCCTCCTGCTCCTCCTCCTCCTCCTCCTCCTCCTACTCCTTCTTCTCCTCCTCCCCCTTCCTCTTCCCATCTCCATCCCCTCTCCTCCTCCCCCATGTCCCTCTCCATCACCCTCACACTCACGAGGGGCTAACATGGCGAGGCTGCGCCGTTCTCGGGAGGAGGGGGGCAAGCACCAGGCCGGGCCGCGCGGGAAGCCCCCCACACGCAGGGTCGGGTCGCGACTGGGTCGTGGCCGCGACCAAGCGGCAAGGAGGGCATCCGCGCCTACAACCCTGGCACTGCCAGAAGGAAAACTGCGTGCGGAACTGGAGGCCCTCTTGCTTCAAGATCGAATCGTGCACTTCTAAGAAACGGACGGGCATCTTGATGGAGGCGTTCCCTCGTCGTTGCCTCGCGTTTTGAACGTGACCCAAGCAACGCCGAGGGGGTCCCTGTCAAAATTGCGAGGGAACGCAGGCAGACTCAAGAATCCACTGAGCCCCTTGCGATCCCGAACTGGGCCTGATTTCAGCGCCGGGACTGTATTTCCTTCCTCTTCCCTCTTCCCAGCGGTCCCTCGACCCTCATGTTCATGTGATGCTTCGTCCCTCGATTAGGGGAGCAGAAAGGTACTGATACCGCTGCTCCCCGGACCTCTCCCAGGGTGCGTTCGGACCAGGATTGCGAGGCACATCCAGCGGTGGCGACGAGGGCCTCCCAGGCAGCTCACCAAATGCGAAAAGAAAAAGAGGCAAGGGCAGCGGTACTGGCAGCTGTGTCTGCTCCGATGATGTCGTGCAGACCCCACTCACAGGCCCAAAGGCGACCCCGAGTGGCCGCAAGCAAGCCTCCGCCTCGCCCTCCTCGTCCTACCTCCGCGGCTGATGCGCGGCGAACGGGCGCTGAGCTTGGGGAGCGCGCTGGGCCACGGCCCACCTGGGCTTGCGCCAGATCGCCCTGGGCATTGCTCTGCCCCCCCCCCAGGCGCCCAAACGGCGCACAGGCAGCAGATGGCTGCGCGCGAGACAGCTGCGCGCGAGGCGGGGGGGGGGCAGAGGAGGACAGGAAGGAGATGAGCGCGCCGGCTCCTGGAGAACTCCGCTCTCAGCTCGGTCTCCGTGATCGCCTGCGGGGCACGCCCACCCTGCCTGGCCGCTGCCCGTTCCATCCTCACCAGAGCCCCGCCTCATCATCCTCCGCCCAAGATTCCAGCATTGCTGGTTCAGCTACGCTGGGACCCTCAATCTTTTTCCATGTCAGCGGAATTGCGGTCCTGCTAGTCCGTTCCTCCCCCATTACCATCATGATCCTCCTCCTCCTTCTGCTAATCTTCCACCTCCCATCCATCAACCTCATTCGCGTGCTCCTCATCCTCCCACATTCGATGTTCTCCTCCTCCTCCTCCTCCTCCTCCTCCTCCTCCTCCACCTCCGCTTCGCCGGCCTCCACCTTCGTCCCTCCTCCTCCCTCCTCCTCGCCCTCCGCCTCCTCCTCCTCCGCCTTCTCATGCTTCCTCTCCTCCTCGCATCATCCTCCTCCTCCTTCCTCCTCGCCCTCATCCTCCTCCTCAGCCGCCTGCTGGTCCTCCTCCTCCTCCTCCTCCTCCTCTCCTCCTCCTCCTCCTCCTCCTCCTCCTCCTCTTTCTCCTTCGCCCCTCCTCGTCCTTCCCCTCCTCCTCGCCCCCCCTCCTCCACTGGCCTCTGCGCGCTGCTTCTCCCCTGCACCTGCTCCCTCCTTCCCCCCCCCCCTCGTCGCAGTCCCTCGGTCGGAGATCTACTGACCTGGGCCAAGCCAAACCAGGGTCAGTCAGTCAGGCGTCGCTGGAGCTGCAACGATCCTGCAGGAGCAGTATCCTGCATCCAAGCCCGGATCCATGAGAGGCCTCCTAGAAACGGTCGGTATAGATGGGGTCGGAGGACATCGCCGCATCGCCGATGCATGGGCGATGCATCGGCGGTGCTCTGTCGAGGTCGCCGATGCATCAGCGTCGCTGTCGTAAACATCGAGTCGCATCGCCGATGCATCGGATATGCGGCCCGATCCTCCGACCCCAGAGACTCGGACTTTGTGGGCCCCGGAAACGGCAGGGCCGTTTTTTCACCGTTTCTAACAAAAATGTTCCTTGAAAATGGAAACGGCAAAAAAATGACGACTTGAAACGGCAAAAAAACGGCTCCAGGATTGGACCCGGAGCCGGAACCGGTCAAAAAACTGTAAAACGGAACAGGTAAAAAAACGGCGTCGGAACCGGTCGGGCCCTGTCGTTTCCAGGGCCCACTAAGGATTCGGACACATCTGGGAGGCCAGATCAATGCAGCCCTGGCTCTGCAGGATCCTGGAAGGTCCGGCGCTCTGACTGACCCCCGTTTGCAGCGACCCCCGTTCCTGAAGGGGCCCTGGGACACACAAATAAATACACACAAATAAAAGGATTCCCAATCTTTTTCCATATTTTCTGGGTTTCGTCTTCCCCACCACTTCCCATATTTTCCCATATTCTCCTGGGGATCGAAGACTATTTGTGTCTGTGTGTCTTTCCCCCTCCTGAGTTTCTCGAGCCCCGGCCCGGCGGCTCGCTGCGGCCTCCGGCAGCGAGCCGACGAAAATCTTCTTCTGGCCAGGCTGCTCGTGCGACGGCGTGCCGTAGCCGCCCTTGCCGCCCCAGGACTGGGAGTAGCCGGGGTCGTAGCTGGGAGCCTCGGGGGGCCCGCGGGCGGCGCCGCCGCCGCCGCCGCTCCACTCTGCGGGGGAGAGCTGTACCCACAGCCCACAAGTCTTGGATGCTCTTGGAAGGGGCGCCACAAGGCCGAGGCTTTTTTTTTTTCATTAGGCAGCATAGAGGACCACTTCGTGAAATATTCACCTGCTCGTGATAAGTTCGTATACCGTATACTACGCTCGAGAGCTGACAGGTCACTAGTGCCTCGCTGTCACGCCGCAGAGCGTGATCCCACAATGGGTAGTATGCAGCCCCCCTGGACAAGGCCGAGGCGCACTGGATAAGGATAAGCCTCGAGCCCCAGGAGTGCAGATTCATCCGTATCCAGTGCATCTTCGGTTTCTGGTGAAGGGAGCCCGTATCTCCAAGCTGCAGAGAGTATGCACAAACATATTCCCGGCACGTTTGTCCCCTGGCGGAGGCAGGAGGGATCGGGGGGATGGAAGCACAGGAAGGTGGAAGACATAGAAGATGGGTGCCCATCGGTCGGAAGAGATAGGTAGAAACATGAAATACGGAGGCGTTACAAATAGATTGGGTGTCCGCCCGCACCTCAAGGAGGACGGAAAAGGAAAGGCCACTCGATCATCGAAGTAGGAAGGCGCTTGAAGTAGAATGGAACCTAGGACTCCACAACTATACACCTACTTTCAAAGACCGATGGGTAATTGGTCGACCGGTGTATTGGATTGCGGTGTACAAAAGGTGGGGGTACGGTCGGACCATCCTTTGGGGACGTCTTCGTTGGTCGAGAGTCCACACAGGAGTCAGGGGGTGATGAGAGAGGACAGGGACAGGATCCTGATGAGACAGGACGGGTGTCCCCTCGTTCTGTCTTCCATTCGCCTCAATGCGCCTTCGCTGCAAAACGAGTTCGGAACGAAAAGGGCCGACGCAAAAAAAGCAAAACACCGTCCAGGTCCATCCCTGGAGACGGGAAGGAGGGAGAAGGTAGTGCGAGAGAATGGGGTAGGGGAGAGGGCTGGCGGCGCGCAGAGGGTGGTGGGAGCAGGGGGGAAGGCTTCTTAGAACGAGAGTGCCTCTTAGAAAGCGGCGGCCTTATCTCTAGATGCAAGGCCGCCGCCTTGTGAGAAGCCTCCACCCTCCCCCTACACCTCAGCAGCGTTTTCCATTCTCGTTTTGTCATCGTTGTCCCTCGTCCTGCCTTCAATCCGCGTTTGCTGCGAAACGAGACCGAAACGAAAACGGCCCACGAAATTGCCAACCCACCGCTTGGATCGACCCGTGGAGACGGGAAGGGAGGGAGGAGGGAGTGATGAGAGGATGAGGCAGGGGAGAGGAGGAGGGAGTCGGACCGCCAGGTGGTTACAGGAAAGTCTGTCCAGGTCTGTCCAACAGCAGCCCGGCGAGCACACAGAGGCAGCGGACACTGCGCGCACCGGAGGTGGAGGAAGGAAGAACGAGGAGGCGGGGAACAAACAACGATTTGTTTTCGGCGTCTTGTCGTTTCTGAGAAATGATGGCGGAGGAAGGCAGACCCTCTTCCACTCATCCTCATTCCTCTCCTCCATCAATATCCCGTTTCCCCCTTTTCGTTTCTCACCCATGTATCCGTGCCCCTTCCCCTCGCCCATCCTTCTTCCCCCCTCCCCCCCGCACGATACCGGCAATGGCTGGGTAGCACGTATCATCTCGAAAACTGTCACTGGGTAGGGTAATTTAGTGGATTCGACCTGTCTATCGTTTCGACCGTGCATCTTGATCCCAGTCCCAGAAAACTCGATGGAACGACTTGTTCTCGCCTGGCCCACGCAGTTTGATTATTGAAAAATCCATTAGCCCGGCGCCATTCCAGCCTCGTGGTGCCACTCAGATTCCAAGTAGCTGATTTATTCAATATAGGCTCTGACCTGATCTGTGACTGCGAACGAGAGGCGACATCCGCTGCTCAAGGCCGCATCCACTGGCCCTCGGTAACTGGTGAGTCACGGATAAGTGCACTTTTCGAACAGATCTCAGGAAACATTTTGAATCTACATACATCGTTGTGTGAGCATATATTTATGTATATATATATATATATATATATGTATACGTATGTATATATATATATACACACGTACATATATATGTGTGTGTGTAAACAGAAACGCGTTCGTGCTGTCCGCCGCCGTGCCACTTGGCACGTTCGGGCGCGCTAGGAGGCCAAGTGCTGCCTGGCAGAGCTTCTGCGGTCTCAGGGGGGGCCCCACACACTCGGGAGGCCGCTCGTCTGCATGCGTCTCCCCCCCTCCCGAGGCCTCCATCCCGAGCACAGTGTTGCAGGCTCGCACTCACGAGGCCACGACCCAGCGCAGCATGCTCTGGAGGCTGCGCCCCCTCGAGGCCGACATCTCTCCCAACACTGCGGCAGACGCGCGCTCCCGAGGCCAAGATGCCTCCACGACGGCCCAGCATGGCTCCGATACGGCCCGCTCTGGCTGCAGGACGGCTCGAAAGAACCCCAAGACGGCCAACGAGGGGCCCAAAACGGCACAGGAGGGCCCTCAGGGGGCCCGCAAGGCTGCCTCACAACAAATGAAGACAGTCAGGAGACGGCCCAAACGAGTTCCGCGAGAGCTCCTCAACTAGTGAAGACGAAGATGTCACATGTGACGGCCTACGTAGTCCTCCTCTTCATTCTGCTTCCTCTGCTCCTCCTGGTTCACATTATCCTCATCATCCTCATCCACTCCCTCATATTCACCCTCCTCGCCACCACGACTACGACAGCTTCAACCACTAGCATCACCATCACCATCACAATCGCCATCCCCATCACCATCCCTATCAGCACGATCAGTATCATCACCATCGTCATCAGCAACATCGTCATCGTCACCATCAACGTCATCGTCATCGTCATGATCATGACGCGGTGCTGCCAACAAACGCGCGGGGGCACAAATTGCTCGTGGGAAGCGTCGGCTGCGGTATGTACGGTAAGAGCTCGCGATGTGGCCGCCTGATTGCATGCCGGCCTGACGAGAAAACCAGCAAGAACAGACGCAAGAGGGAAGGCCAACCAGAAGGGTCGCCAACCCCACGGGGGAGACCCGCTCCGCTGTGCCTAGGCCGCTGTGCGTTGGCGACCCCGAGATCGCCTGGCTCCAGCGGCGTGATCAACGCAGTGCTCGAAGAAGAACAACGGCATGACCAGAAACCGTTGGCGCTCCGCGCGGGCTTCTTGGACTTGCGCCGGCGCGCGGCGCGCGCCGGGGGCGGCGCCCGAGGCGCCGACGAGGGGGCCCCGCGCGGATCCAGGAAGCCCGCGGAGGGGCCCAAAGCTTATGTGCATGCCGCTGTTCCCTCTCTCCGCAGTGCGGAGGCCGTCGCCTCCCTTCGCGCCGCGCCGCCCTCGCGCAGACCTCGCGCGGCGCGCGCCGGCGCGCCGGCGCCTTCTGCCCGCAGGCGCCACGGGCGGCGGCGCGCGCCTCGCCTCCTGCCCGGTCTGGCCAGTGCCGCGGGGGGGTGCCGCCAGGCCCACAGGAGATGCGCGGTCCGACCCGTCGCTCGGGAGGTCGGCCGCGCCTCGCGGGCGTGGGGCCCGCCCGCCGTGTGCGCGCTCCCGCGTGCTTTTTGCCCACGTCGGGCTGCCCGGCGTCCGCCAGCCCGACGCTCACGTTGTGCCCGGAGGTGCGATGCTTCGAACAAGGCAGCGGCTTCAGACATCTGAGCCTCCCCTCGCGTGCGATGCTGTGCCATGCGGTCAATCCGCTGCGCCGGTGAGAATGATTTGCACGGCCCTCTCGCGTGCGGGCATGGCCTTGTCAGGGCCAAGGTAAGTTTGCACGGCGGCTATAAGTGGTAGGCAGTGGTGGCAAGGGGGGGGGGTCTCTCTCTCGCTCGTTCTGCATCAAACTGCCCTTACGTGGTGAAACACGGTCCCGGTCATCATCATCATCATCATCATCATCATCATCATCATCATCATCATCATCATCATCATCATCATCATCATCATCATCATCATCATCATACTCATACTCATCATCATCATCATCACCACCATCATCATCATCATCATCATCATCCTCAACCTCATCATCATCATCATCATCATCATCAACATCATCATCATCATGCTCATAATCATCATCATGATCATCACCATGAACATCATCATCAGGATCATCATCACCATCATCATGATCATCATCATCGTCATCATCAGCAGCGTCATCAGCATCATCATCATCATCATCATCATCGGCATCCTCATACTCAACAGTATCATCATCACCATCTTTATCACCAGCATCACGATCACCACCATCGTCAGCAGCAGCAGCTGTACCAGCATTATGATCAACATCATCAGCAGCATCATCGTTACCACCACCATCACAATCACCATCACCATCATCATTAGCATCGTCGTCATCATCGTCAGCATCATCATCGTCACCATCATCAACATCATCATCAACATCACCATCATCATCATCATCATCATCATCATCATCACCATCACCATCACCATCACCATCACCATCACCATCACCATCATCATCATCATCATCATCATCATCATCATCATGATCATAAGTTTTAGCGTCATCATCATCATCATCACAACTCCCACAACATTTGGGGCAACCAAGTGTCCACGTGACGGTCTCCCGTGCATGCTCGAACAATCGTCACCCAGCATGCTGGCAGGGACGGAGACGGGACTTGCCACATATGCCACTAGTTTACACCTACCATGTCACGGCTGGCCGACTGAAAGTGCGAATCATCTACCCATTTGTTCGGCAACGTGCCATGCCCACGGCATATACACATAGCAAGCCCGACCTTATCACACCGACGAAGTTTCAACAGCTCTCAACAGCAGCCTCGTTGGGATCGGTGCGTGCTTTTGATCGACGAACGCTCTGTGTGCCACGGGCTGATCATGGGGTAACCTCTCATACGCATCTAGCCTTGATTTGCCACTACAAGCGCAATCACATGTTGCCGAATGACCGCCGCTTCTGCGAGCACACAAAGAGGGCACGAGACCACTTGGCCCAGGGTTCCTTCCCCACCGCCCCTCACATCGGAGACATGCGCTCTGGCTGCTCTGCGCTCGCACCCTCGACATCTCGCAAGATTCGCTCAAATATGCCCAAGAACTCGGCCTGGTCGGACGACCCGTTTACGACGTATGGCCTGCCTGACCCTGTCCGGAACGGGCCACCGTCCGTCAGCGGCGAGTTGAATATGAAGAGCGGGATCGCGTGGATGCCCTTGTCGCGGATCGTGGTGCGGTAGGACCGCCACACGTCTGCAGCCAGCTCGCCCGACTGCAGGAAGGCCTCCGCCTGCTGCATGTCGAGGCCCGCCTCGCCGACCGCTTCCAGGAGAGTGGCGCGGTGCGAGGCCGAGGTGCGCTCCTCGAAGTGCCTGCGGCCGAGCGCGCTCATGAACGCCTCCTGCTTCCCGAACCGATGCGACCACAGCATCAGCCGCTGCGAATCCACGGGCTGCCACTGCGTCTTGACATTGTAGTCCAGCTCGATCCCCACCCTTCGGCCCAGATCTCGCATCACCTCCTCCGCCTCGCGGCGCCTCGCCGCGTCGCCGCCGCAGTAGCCGAGGAGGCTTTCGTGCCAAGTGGGCTCTCGGCCTTCGGGGCAGTTCGCGCCAACCAGGGAGCCATCGGAGCCATCAGTTCCACGGCTGTCGGCGATGAACGAATATGGGTGCCGTGTCACAGTCAGCAGCAGTGCAATGTCGCCGTGCTTCTGGTGGAAGGCGCTCAAAGCAAGCTCGATATTCCGTTTACCAATGTAGCCGTGCGGTCATTGGGTGCAGGTGACGAAGTCAGCCTCCACCACCAGCCGTCGCTTGCTTGCGCAGTCTTCTGGATTGCCCGACCCTGCCAACAGATTCAATGGATATCCGTCGCGGCCCTTGAGAGGAGGATCGACCACATCGCCAGCAGCTTCCGAGGCCGGCAGCTCCATCAACAGAAAAATAGCTAACAAGCAACGGCCTTAGGACAAGCTTTGACCTGGTGCCTAAACGGCGACGGCATACAGATCAGGAAAGGGGACGGGCGGTTCCCAGTCCGACGCACGCACGTGCAGCCTTGAACGATTGCGCGCTTCCGAAACGTCGGATCGTGGATCATCGACCGACTCTGGGTCGCCGGCGGTTTTCAACGCTGACCGCTGGCAGCGGGGTCGCCGCCAGTTGCCGCCTCGCGCCGTGCGGTGCACCGGGTATATTCGGGCACTCGCGCCGCCTCCTCAAGAAGAGCAGCGCCAGAGCCCACGCCGAGTACTGAGGCCTCCGACGAGTAGTGCCCCTGGCCCTCTGCACCCCCTGGGCCTGGGCCGCGCTCTTCTGGTCCCGAATCGTTGTCCCCGCGGCCAAGAGACTGCCACTTCGGCGACGGAAATCCGCAACACCCCGAGTCTCCAGAGGGCTGGGAGGCACGACGCGCAGCCATCGCTGTGCACGTGTGGGCAACCTGCTTCCCCCCAGGCTTGAGGCGGCCAGGGGTCCGAGCTGGCCGAGACACCAGAAATCCAGTCGTCAGGGGGGGTGAAACCAAATCTTACCAGCCTCGAACTTACCCCTATCCCTAAGATGGACACGCCAAAAGGCGATGACACTCTTAGGGATGCGCCCTCAAAAAATAAGGGAATCCCTAAGATTGGCATCGTGATGAGGAGATGCCCAGCATAGGGATAAGGATATGTCCCAGGCTGGTGAAAATCCGATCACAATCGGTCTCCAGACCCCCCCCCGGGTCGCCCGGTCCCCGCCCGCAGGCGCCTGGTAGCCGCCCTTGCCGATCGGCTCCTGCGCGGCGCAGCCCCCGGCCCTCGGCCCCGCTCTTTTTGGCCACCGCTCGGACGCGCGTGTCCCGTGCACGTCTCGCTCTCGCGCGAGCCTGTTTCCCCACGGTGGTCCAGGAGGCTCCTCGATGGCCTTTGCCGAGAACCAGTGTAGGAGTGTTTGCTCCTCGGCCCCCTTACGGCGGGCGGCGCCTGGCGTCGGGGCTGCGGTGGCGAGGGCCGAAAGAGGAGGAGGAGGAGGAGGAGGAGGAGGAGGAGGAGGAGGAGGAGGAGGAGGAGGAGGAGGAGGAGGAGGAGGAGGAGGAGGGGGAAGAGGCTGTCTGTCTCTTCCTCCCTCTCTCGGCCTGCCACGCCCCCCCCTGACGTCCCCCCCGCCCCTCCCCTTTTTGGAGGTCGCTCGGGGGGGGCAGCGCTGCTCCCAGGGGTCAGCGCACGCTCGGCCGGCGCGCGGGGTCCGCCGGTCGCAGCCCTGGCGACCCCATTCGCAAGAAGCTCGGATTTGGGCATGGCTTAATGGGGGGGTCACAAATGGGGGGGTCAGAAAAGGTCCTCTTTCGTGCCCCTTTCGGGCCCCTCCAGCGCCCCAGGGGGCTCGTTTAGGTACCGTTTGGGTACCTTTTCGGACCACCCTCACCAACCCCCCATTTATGACCCCCCCATTACGCAACGCCCAACGGATCTCAGCTTTGCTCTTGCCGGCGACCGGGCTGCTCAGCTGAACTTTTACCCCACGAGCACTGCCCCCTCCTCCGTCGCCCCAGAGCCCAGATCGCGTTCGCTGCCGCTCGGTGAGCTTCAACCCTCCTGTTTTTTCTTGTCGCCTCCACGCACGACTGCAAAGTACGAACACTTGGAAAGAAAGACGCAGGAGAGGGGGTGATGACACTGCGGATAGTTGGCCAGATATCGTTGGCGTCGGCACTCAGCTATGGGCACAGTACGTAGGATGTGCACATAACTCTGAGACAACGAGCATGTGTGGTCTAATTCGGGGCCAACACGGCGAGCATGCATACAAAATCCCGGCTCGCTAAAACATCGCGCACATAGCTCAGAATGTACCGCTCCCGTGCGAGGCCTCGGGAAATCGCACAGGCTCGCCCGCTTTCGGTCTGCTCCTGCTCCTGCACTTCCTCTGTGCCACCTCTAGAGGCCTCCTAGAAGGGGTCCGAATGGTGGTGTCGGAGGATCTCGCCGCATCGCCAATACATCGACGATGCTTCGGCGACGTCGGCGATGCATCGGAGATGCATCGCGGACGTCGGCATTGAAAAACATGGACTCCACATCCAGCCGCCTCGCCGATGCATCGCCGATGCATCGGCGATGCGGCGCGATCCTCCGACCCCATCTACTCCGACCCCATCCATGGGGAAACCACAAGGTACCGATACCGCTGCCCCCCTGGACCTCTCCCGGCGTGCGCTCTGACCAGAACTTCGGGGCGAATCCAGCAGTGGTGACGAGGGCCGCCCAGAAGAGGCCCCCCCAAAAGCGGAAACCGAGGGCACGGTAGAGGTATTTGGGTGCCGTTTTTTCCTCGCCCGAGATCCGGGAGGCCTGGCGCCCCACGCCGCGCCCCCGCCCTCGGCACCTCGCCATCGCTCGGACGTCCATTCCCTGTGTTTTTTTAGATTTCGTGCGTGGTTTTTTCGCCAAAGGATGAAGGATGCTCCTCGATGGTCCTCGCCCGAGGAAAAAACGCACACGTCCGAGCGATGCCACGGCACCCACGCGGCGCGAGGCGGGAGCGGCGGCACCGCTCCGGCCCCAGGGGGCCCGCGGACCGCACACCTTCGGCGCCCCCCGCGGGCGCCGCAGAGCACGGCTCCCTCGCGCCGCGCTCTTCCGCCGCCCGCGGGGCGCGCCGAAGCCCTGCTCGGCGCGAGCAGCTGCGCACAGAGCGTCGGCGGCGAGCGAGGGGGGGGACGCTAGAAGAGAGCGGGCCTGCTCAGAGGGCCAAGAAGTCCCACGCACACACATACAGAGCCACAAAGCCGCGCCCTGACGGCGCATGGGCAAGATCTGGCTGAAAACACATGCGAACCTGCATGCACGAAGGCGTGAACAATTGCGAGCGCCAAGCCAGCGCAGTGCCTCGGGGAGCTATCATTGCACCCTTACCTCCGACGGCATTCTGAGAAAATTCCTGAGCCTTCTCGTGAAGATTGAGAAGACCTCTCAGAAGCCACGAGGCGTCTGAGAAGGCCCGCCGCCTTCTGAGAAGGCCTCCTCCTTCTCATGCCCGTCCCTGGCCTGCCGCCGAGAGCGGCGAACCTATCCAAATCCACGCCCTCGCGGTCTGGATCGCGGATACGTGGTCGCGCGGAGGCGTTCTGCGCGGGGCACCCGTGGACAAAACAACGCACGGTATCCGCGGGGTCGCGGCCTGGGGGTCGGGCCCCGCGAGGCCGCGGCTACGGACGCAGACCCCCGACGCCGCGACATGTTTTCAAGACGCCGACCCCCAGAAGTCTTCACGCGAGGCGTACTTTGCAGCCCCCACGGGCCCGGCGAGGGCCCCGGTAGGCCGCAAGACCTCCCGTCGTCGACCCGGAAGACGCCTCCGCCATTCCCAAGGGACGGGCCTCTGATCCGGAGTCGCACTTGAACGTTTCCTGTGGACGCCCGAGATGGGTAGGGAAAGAATTAGTATATAATGTCCAACAACAGATAGCCTCCTGTCTAGGCTCAGGCCGCGGCGGCGCGGACGAGTCCTGTTCAAAACGAGCAGGAACTGTTGGGCACTGTACGCACTCTTTCCGTCCCCACCTCGCTCGTGCCGAGGTCCCCAAAGGCCTGGCGAGGACCCCCGGAAGCCGAGAGACCGCCCGGAGGGGGTCTAATTAGGGAGATGTCTTTCGCCCACAGGCTGCCGCGGGGCGCCTGCCCGCGCACAGGGCTAGTGGTCGGCAATGCGTCGCCGAGAGGTCGGCGGTTGGCCCGCGGTAGCGAGTCCGCACGCTGCTGGGCGGGATGGGCTCTCGGGCCCCCATCGGCAAAGAATGGGCGATTGTCGGCGGCGGGCGCGCGGGGGGGAGTGAGAAAGAGAATAGGAAATCGAACTCTATACACCGACGCTTCTTCCGGCCCTGCACTGGAATTTGCACTGGAGAGCGGATCCTGGTGTATACGGGACCCTGGCGTATACAGGTTTCGTTGTTTCCCCGGGACATCGGGGACAAAAAGTATACACGACACCACCCCAGCGTCGTCCTCGACCCTCAAGGAATCCTGGGATTGAAAAACAGCCCGCCACTGGTAATGTATATGTTCCAGTTTCCGCGAGAAGGCCTCCTCCGAGGGCTCGGAAGTCCCACGGCATGCTGAGGAGCGCTTCGTGAACCTTCCCCAAAAAACACGGGCAAGCACTTCCGAGAACAAGCCGGGCGCCTGCCCGTACATGCCCTGGTTCTTCGCCACCATCACGTCGCACGGCCGCTCGGCGCCCTGGCGGGCCCGGATTCTGCAGGCGTCGTGCTGTGGGCCAGGAGAAAGACAGGGGGAAGCGAGGGCCGAGGATGAGGAGGAGGAGGAAGTATCGAGGATCGAGGGAGTTCGTGGGCGCAGAAGTCGTCGACGTCGAGCTCGTCGGGGGGGAGGGGCAGATTTCGTCAACGTGGAGGTCGAACGCATGCTGGACGCAAAATCTGTGTTTCCACAGACAGACGGAACAAACACACGCTACAGCAGCTGGGACGACAGACGCAATATGTATGTCCAAGTGCGTCACAGACACGCAACAAAAAACGGCTCTGTCGGGTGCCGGATCTTCCTGCTGATGACGATCGGTCCCTGGCCAGCCGACGCGCTTGCAAGACAGATCCCATGAACTCCGACAGCCCACGTCACGCCAGGCTTTGGGCCCGTCTGGGCCAACTTGATCGCATGTCCCCCCGCGTTGGCCAACGTCTTCCACCTCACGATGCGGCAACTGATCTCACCGTGACTATTGGCCCTCACAACATACAGGCGACGATGCAGACCACCAGAATCCATCCCAAGGCTCCGAGCATTCCGACTGATGAATCCGGCGGAGGAGGGCCCCGCTCTCCTGGCGGCCCTCCGGACGTGCTGGCCCTGGGCGGTTTGGGGCTTCTCAGGCAGGGAGATGGTGGGACCAGACAGCCATGGCCCCAGGTCCAGGGGTCCTCGGCCCCCGCGAGGTCACGCGACACCTCCCAAGCCTGTTCAACTCTCTGGAGCTACCAAGCCAGCAGCCACAACAGCCAACTGAACGCAGGGAAGATGCGCAACCACAGCATGCGCAGGAAAACACAGCACCAGCAGAAGCAGGGAAATCGCACAACTGAAGCCAACAACCGTGGCGCACCCAGTCGGTGCCACCTCGGCCGTGGTCCTCTCAAACGTAAGCACTCGATCGGGCGAATCCGCGGCTAAGAGAAGTCTAGAGGTCTGACTGTTACCAGCCTGGAGCATATCCCTATCCTTATGCTGGGCATCTCCTCATCACGATGCCAATCTTAGGGATCCCCTTATCTTTTGAGGGCGCATCCCTAAGATTGTCATCGCCTCTTGGAGTGCCAATCTTAGGGATAGGGATAGGGTCGAGGCTGGGAACACTGGGAAGCCGATGCCAGCGAGCAGGTACTGCGAGCGAGCGAGCGGGGCACACGTGGATGCGCCTTCCGCACATCCGGCAAGGCAGAACCCGACACTCGGGAGCGGCCAAGAGGGGGGTGTCCAAGAGGGGGGGGTGCAAATCATGACCGGCGGCATGTGCGCGGCCCAGCGGGGGGGCCAGGGACGTAATGAAATAAGAAGAGGCGCCATGAAATCTGAGGAAGAATCATGGCCCGCGCCATGATATCCACCCCCCCCTAATCATCACCCCCCTCTTTTCCGCCCCCGAGACACCCTGCCCGAGGCCCTCGCCAGCTCAGCCGGCACACAGTGCCTCCCGCCGCAGACGCCGCGCGCGGCTCCGGAGAGCCCCCACCGGCAGCTCCTCGGAGGATCCTTCCCCCGTGGCCGGGCAGCACTCTCCAGCGGGCCCCCCTCTGGCCATCGCTCGGGCGTCCAATTCCTGTGCTTCCTTCGGCTTCGTGCGTGTCACACTCGGCGTTGGACAAATCTCCCTTTAATAAACCTCCGGTTACTGAAAACGGCCTGGGGCCGAAACCGACGGACCTGGACCCGCAAAAATCACGGCCGCGACGCCCTCTCGCGAACCGAGAACGGCCAATTCCTTAATCGACGTGTCTGGGTAGGAGGTCTGTCCACCCCCGACACACGATCAAGGATGTTCCTCGATGGCCCCCCCCGAGGGAAAAATGCACACGCCCGAGCGATGCCGAGATCTGGGCGGCGTCCGCACCGGTGGGGGAAATTGCGGGCAATATTTCTGTCCATATCCACTGCGTCTTGGACTTTCTTGGAAGGGGCGCCGCACGGCCGAGGCGTACTGGATATGGAGAAATAATCGAGCCTCTCGGAGGCAGATCATAATCCATATCCAGTGCGCCTCATGTTTCCTGGGAAGAGTGTCCGCAACTCCAAGACGCACTGGATGTGGACATAGACACTGCCCGCAGAAATCTGCCCGCCGGCGAACCTCACCCGGGCGGGCGAGCTCCGACCCCAGGCCTGCGGCGGCGGGCCGGGCCCGGGCCCCCGAGCGGCCGCGAGAGGGGGGGAGGGGGGCGCGGCCCGCGGGCGCCTGGAAGTGCAGTGTGCGGTCCGTCGCCTCCTTGGCCTGCTGGGCCTCGCCCAAGAGAAGCGCCGAGGAAGGTCCCAAGAGACCAAGACGGCGGAAGGTGACCGCAACATTGCTCCAATACGGTCCAGGTCGCTACACGGCGCTCATCAGACAACAAACGACATTGACGCACATGTTTGAGAGTGTCGTGTGTTGGCAAGTCCCATGATTTGCCCATCGAATGCCAACATGTTCTTTCAAATTGCTCACGGTACCCCTCGAAATTGCGCAGTCTGGCCACCCAGCGGCCCCGAATACCACCAGATGCCCCCAAGATGTCCGAAAGACGGGCCCCACGACTGCCATCGGTGCTCCAACTGTTGCCCGAGAGGCCACAAGTTGCTTCCATGTGGTCCCAAGATAGTGCGCGAGGCCCCCCCCCCACTGTCCGTCCATACATATACATACACATACATATATAGATATATTTGTGTATGAGTATGCCGATGAGTATATATATATAGATGTATCTGCAGATGTGTATATATGTGTACATGGGTGCACTCATATATAGCTAAATATAAAGGGTGGTTCCGCCTGTGGAGATGGAGACAGAGGGCCTAGCCCTTCAGATCATGACTGTCCTTGGCGTCGCAGCAACGATAACATGGCACACCATGAATGTATGGAGTCTGGAGGTATCGCGCACTGTGGGACCACAATGTGAACTCGATGGATGGCCCACCTTCTGAGATCAACAATTTTTCATGGGCACCAGCCGGGATCACATGGTGGCAAGCGGCGTGCGCCGACCTGATCTGGCGTAGCGAACGTGATGAAGGCCCACTGCTTGCCCGGCGGGCAATCAGGCTTCACGAAGATGTCCTCTATCTGACCATACCTGGAGAGACATACGCTTCGCAACACGGCTTCTTCCTCTCGGGCACGACCTAACATGGATCAGGGATCAGTGAATCTGGCGCGTTGGTGCAGCATCCATGGATCGGGGAAGGTCCCCCGAAATACGAGGCTACTGCCGCCTGTTTTGGCGACGGAGCGTGCAAATGGGACCCGTCGCTAATCCACGCGTCGCTAATCCATGTTTGCGGTTCCTTGATCCTCGCCCTTTCTATAGGACCCTCACAGTGCCCCCTGCGCGTTGAGGCACGGTAGAGTGCCAAGTGCCGCCTGGCAAGGCTCACGCAAGTGCCCCCACTCTCGACGCGCCTCCCTGCATGACAGCCCCCCTTCCCGAACATCCCTGGGCGACCCGACATCCCCCTGGGCTCTCAAGAGGACATATGCAAGCCTCCGAGGCCGCCAAGACGACCCTCATTCTGTCGAGAAACAACAGCCTCCAAGAGACCTGAGGAGGCGCCAAGCCCAGAGAGGCTCCCACGACATCGAGACATCACTCCCAAAGCACTCACGCACCTGGTGATAACTATAACTGTTCGACTACCTCTCGGCTCAACATGCTTCGAATATCGTCTCGGAGGAACCATAGAAGAGTTCGAACGAACCGAAGAATGGCCTCCAGAAGCCGACAGGCCCAGGACAGCCCCAAGAAGGCCCCAAGACGGCCCAGCCCAAGAGAGGCTCAGGACAGCCCAAGGGTGCCCCGAGGTTGCCCGATCGAGCCCCAAGAGGCCCCCACACAGCCCCACGAGATTCCCCTGACGGCCGAGAGGTGTCCAAGATGGCACAAGAAAGTCCCAAAATGACGCAGGAGGGCCCCAGGAGATTTCCGATCGAAAGCCGAAGAAAAACCTTGGGCAAGCTGCGAAACACTCAAGGAACACCCAGCCCCTCCCGGGTTCCTTCTGCAGGGCCCCGACTGTACGTCACCGCCCTCTGGGGAGGCTCTACGCGTCGCCGAAAAAGAGTGCTGCACCGGCACGGCTGCGGGACTTACCACCAACCACTGGATACTTGTACACCCGAAATCATGAACGAGGCCCCTCTTTTCCGTACGTTAAACTCCGATTTCCCATACGAAAACCTAAGGGACACCCGAGGCAAATTGTGAGACGATCAAGGAACACCGAGCCCCTCCCAACGAAAAGCGTTCCTTCTGCAGGGCCCCGACTGTACTTGTAATCGCGCAGGGCTGGACCCAAACGTTGTGGTTCGTTTTGTTGGCGTTTTGTTTGTCGTTTTGCTCCACCTGTTTCCCCTACCAAAACGAACAACTGAACACAGCCGACGTCCAGCAACACAGCGGGTCGGTCCAGCCCTGGTTATAGCCAGGTGCGCTCTACTGCGTTGTGCACCGACGCCCCAGGCCACACATCTGAATGACAAAACAATGGACGCAGGCGGTCTGAGATCTAGCTGGTCAACAACAAGAACAACAACAACAACAGCAAACAACAACAACAACAACAACAACAACACCAACACCACCACCAACACCACCACCACCAACAACAACAACAACAACAACAGGCAAGCACCGCGCTAACCACCCCCCTGCCTCCCGCCCCACCCCTGGAGGAAAAACGTAAATGCCTTCGCGAGAAGGTGATGCAGCAGATTCCTACCACAGCCCCGCGAAGTTGCGGATAAGAGAGAGGGGCCGGCGGAGTCGTCGGCAGCTTGTCTGAAGCAAGCAGGTGTTATTTCACATTGTCTCTGGGCTGGGTCGTGACGTATGCAGGGGATGAGGCGGACCCAGTACGTTTGCACAGCCATTCGCGTACATGACATGCGACTGAATGGGTAAGTCTTACGACTCAATGGCACGTGACCTGGTTTATGTGTTACATCTTGAATACGTCCGCCGCAGGCGCCACGCCTTTTACACATCACACAGCGGCCGTGCCGCAGGCGCCGAATCTTCAGAAATTCGACCGCACCACCAGTTGGGGCGAAGACGGCGATGGCAAGAGGGTACCAACACCAACGGCAACAAACAGCACAACAAAAACAACCAGTTCAAGACTGTGCGCTCTTCGTGTTTCGCGAGTCGCTGAAATGTTTAAGCCCAAGCTCTCGATACTCGCCGTCTTCGATCGTGCCGCCCTTGGAACTATAGATTCCTTGCCCGTCTCGTGTAATCTGCGCGGCCAATTCACATAGGAAGAGGAGGGAGACATTAACACATGAGGCAGCAAGGAAGGGAGGATGAAACGAAAGGGGAGGGGGGGCAAGAGGAAGGGAGGATCATTTGAAGACGAACAACAAATCGGCAGGAGGGGGAGGAGGGAGGAGAAGGAAGATTGGGAAGGCGGACCCCAACGGGCGGATTGGGAAGGCAAACCCTGACGGGCGGGCTGGGCGGGCAGTGCATCCGAACGGGCAGGCGGGCTTCCGGGCAAGCAGGCGGGCGGACACCAGCAGCGGGCAGACATGAGGAGAAGGAGGAAGAGGAGGAGGAGGAGGAAGAGGAGGAGGAAGAGGAGGAGGAGGAGGAGGGAGGAGGAGGAGGAGGAGGAGGAGGAGAAGGAGAGGAGGAGAAAGGAGGAGGAGGAGGAGAAGGAGGAGGAAGAGGAGGAGGAGAGGAGGAGAGCGAGCACAGCCAAGCTGCCAAAGATAAGGATGCGCGGCAAGGGTGCAGAGGGCCAGCGAGGGTCGTGTGTTTGGGCGTGCTCGCGAGCGGGGCCGGCCAGCGGAGGTCGCCGAGGATGGGCCGAAGGAGCAAGGGATGCAGGGGTCTTAGTGGGCCCTGGAAACAACAGGGCCGTTTTTTTACCGGTTCCGCTTTGCCGTTTTTTTGCTAGTTCCGACGCCGGTTTTTTACCGGTTCCGTCGCCGTTTGTTGACCGGTTCCGGCTCCGGTTCCAATCCTGGAGCCGTTTTTTTGCCGTTTCCGGTCGCCGATCTTCTGCCGTTTCCATTTTCAAGGGACACTTTCTCGGAAACGGTGAAAAAACGGCCCTGCCGTTTCCGGGGCCCACTATAGGCAGCCCTGGGAAGCTGCTCATCCCTACTGTGCGCCATGACTGCAAAGACCCCGCGAGGGCAGAGGAAGAACGAAACACACACAAGCACAAACATAAACTCTCGCGGATTTCCTGGAGTTGCGCGGGGTCCCCCTCCCTGGCGCGCGGAGCGCGCCAGGGGCGGCGCCCTGGAGGCGCCGCCGGGGTGGCCCAGCGCGGATCCAAGAAATCCGCGCGGAGCGCCAAAAGTTTATACTCATCTGCTTTTTCTTCTTCTTCTTCTTCGAGTGGAAGTAGAATACGATGATCTCCTCGAATGATGAACCAACGACACACACCCATACCCACAGGGGGGTCGGAAAGGGCTATGGGCGCGTGTTGTCGGATTGGGGTCCCCGCTCGAACGGGAGCGTTCCCTAGGGTCCTCCTCCCAACGACCCCCTTATGGGTATGGGTGTGTGTGGTTCGTTCGTCATCGAAGCCCCCAAACATCGCCAGGCCCCCCCTCTGGCCCCCCACCAAAGGACCCGTGGCGACCCAGCTCCGCGCTCCCCCCGCGCCTCCGCCTGCCTGCCGGCCGGCCTGCCTGCCCGCTCCTCCATGGCTCCTTGCCCTCTCCTTCAACCAGCCTCGAGCTGGTGCTGGTCCAGGAGAGGGACGAGCCAAATGAAGGGGCACCAGGACACACAAATAAATACACACAAATAAAAGAATCCCACCAGCCCTTTGGGCGTGAGTGGTTTAGAAAGCTCTCTCTGTTCTCAACCCCCTAACCCCCTATCTCCCCCTTCGGGGAGGGGTTTACCCCTCCCCCTACCCCCTCCCCTGGACCTGGACAGGGCGGGCCGAGTGGTGTCAAGGTGGTCTTTTTCGACTCCTGGGAGGGCCAAAAAACGACGACCCTCACGAGGATTCTGGTCCCGAGGGGGGGGGGGTTGTTTGGCCCCTCAACTCGTCTTCGAAGCCAATTACTCCGACGGAAGAACTCCACATAAGAATCCTCTGGGCGAATCTGGAAAAAAACCATCACCGTCGTCCTCGTGGTTGGTGAGGCGTCCTGGCTGTCTCTTCTGCGTATATTTCCTGTCGCCTTGGCGCGGGCCCCCCTTCCACTCCTTACGTTGTCCCCATCCTCGCCCCCCTGTTTGTTCCGCGCCCCGCCACCTCCTCCCCTTCCTGTTGCATGAGCGCGCATGTCGATGTTCCTCGGCGCCGTCGCCGCCACGGCCAGCACAGGCGCGTTCTCTACTGGTCACGTCGCGCAGCCGTTGGGACAACCCCGCGGGCCAGGCTGTCGGGACAACCCCGCGAGCCGCTGGCGCGCAAGACCAAGCCGTTGGGACAACCCCGCGGGCTTCGAGCGAGGCGCAGCCGCGCTCAGGCGGAAGGCAGCACGAAGCCCAGCTCTGCCGAGAGCTGCTTCGCCTCCGCCCTGGACAAAACCGCCTGAGACTTCCTCCATATTCAGGCTTGAGGAGCCCAAAAGTGACGACAGTTACAGATTTCCGATGACCCGCTTGGATTACCAACATGATTTGCGGGCCCCATAGGGAGGGGGCTCCCGCCTGAGACTTCCTCAGAATTCACTCAGAGACGAGGCTCCCGCCTGACACTTCCTCCAAATTCAGGCTTGACGAGCCCAAAAGTGATGACAGTTACAGGTTTCCGATGACCCGCTCGGATTACCAACGTGATATGCGGGCCCCATAGGGAGGGGGCTCCCGCCTGAGACTTCCTTAGAATTCACTCACAGACGAGGCTCCCGCCTGAGACTTCCTCCAAATTCAGGCTTGAGGAACCCAAAAGTGACGACAATTACATGTTTCCGATGACCCGCTCGGATTACCAACATGATCTGCGGGCCCCATAGGGAGGGAGCTCCCGCCTGAGACTTCCTCCCAATTCACTCACAGACGAGGCTCCCGCCTGAGACTTCCTCCAAATTCAGGCTTGACGAGCCCAAAAGTGACGACAGTTACAGTTTCCGATGACCCGCTCGGATTACCAACATGATCTGCGGGCCCCATAGGGAGGGGGCTCCCGCCTGAGACTTCCTCAGAATTCACTCAGAGACGAGGCTCCCGCCTGAGACTTCCTCTTTCAGGGCAGGACGAGCCCAAAAGTGACGACAGTTACATGTTTCCGATGACCCGCTCGGATTACCAACATGATCTGCGGGCCCGCCTGAGACTTCCTCAGGGACGAGGAGGCTTTGACCCCGATGACTTCCTGATATGCGGGCCCCACTCCCGCCTGAGACTTCCTCCCAATTCACTCACAGACGAGGCTCCCGCCTGACACTTCCTCCATTTTCAGGCTTGACGAGCCCAAAAGTGACGACAGTTACAGGTTTCCGATGACCCGCTCGGATTACCAACATGATCTGCGGGCCCCATAGGGAGGGGGCTCCCGCCTGAGACTTCCTCACAATTTACTCAACGATGATGAGGATGAGGATGATGAGTGGTGGTGAAGATGAGTGGTGAAGAGGATGATGATTGATTGTGAGTGGTGGTGGCGATGATGATGTTTGAATGAGGATGATGCCGATACCGATGATGATGATGATGATGATGATGATGATGATGATGTTCGTGAGCGTGTGAGAGAGTGCGAGTGATGATGATGATGAGTATGTGAGTGACTAAGCATGTGAGAGAGCATCATCGATGATGCTGATGAGGTTGATGATGAGAGAGTGTGAGTGAGTGTGAGTGGGTGTGTGTGTGTGTGTTCCTGTCATGTTCCTGCGCGGGGTGTCCAGAGAAAACAAGAACCCCACTTTGGACGTGGGGAAAAATATTGTTTTTACTAAGGTGTTGGCCCCATTTTGACCTTCTGAGGGGGCCGCGCTCATCTTCCTTCCTAGCAGAATCATTGATTTTACGAAGGTTTTGGGCTCATGTTGTCCTTCTCAGGGGGCAGCGCTCATTTGCGCTTCTGAGGAGGTCGCAAGAGGCCCCAAGATGGCCCCAAGAGGCCCCCAGGAGGCTCCCAAGAGGCCTCCAAGAGGCCCCCAAGAGGCCCCCAAGAGGCCCCAAGAGGCCCCCAAGAGGCCCCCAAGAGGCCCCCAAGAGGCCCCAAGAGGCCCCAAGAGGCCCCCAAGAGGCCCCCAAGAGGCCCCCAAGAGGCCCCCAAGAGGCCCCAAGAGGCTCCAAGAGGCCCCCAAGAGGCCCCACGAGGAGCCCGAACGACTCACACCAGGACGAGGGGCCCGAACGACTCACACCACGAAGAGCCCGAACGACTCACACCACAAGGAGGGGCCCGAACGACTCACACCAGGACGAGGCGCCCGAACGACTCACACCACGAGGAGCCCGAACGACTCACACCACGACGCGGGCCCCGAACGACTCACACCACGAGGAGCCCGAACGAGTCACACCAGGAGGAGGGGCCCGAACGACTCACACCAGGATGAGGGGCCCGAACAACTCACACCACGAGAAGCCCGAACGACTCACACCAGGACGAAGAGCCCGAACGACTCACACCACGAAGAGCCCGAACGACTCACACCAGGAAGAAGGGCCCGAACGACTCACACCAGGACGAGAAACCCCAAACGACTCAAATCACGAGGAGCGCTTTCTCTCCCTCCTCCTCCGCCTCGTCCTTCTCCCGCTCCCCCCACAAGGAGGATGTACAAGGAGGCGGGAGGAAGGAGGAACAGGGGAGATATGCGGGGCCAAGCGGACACACGCCTGAACAACACGACTGTCGGCATGCTTCGCAAGAGTTGCTGCTGTGAGATGGGCTGGTGGGGATACGCGAAGCGTAAAGAATTCCCCATAGTTCCTCATACTTTCCGGGTTTTGTCTTCCCCCCCACTTCCCACATTTTCCAATATTTTCGGGGGAATCGACGATTAATTGTGTCTGTGTGTGTTTTCCCCTCCTGACCAAAATGCGCCGACAGTCTCAGGCATGCGCCCCCAGAAATGGAGGGACCCCCTGCGATCGGCACCGAGGACAAGCGACGCCGATCATAGGGTAAGGCATCCGTTTCAGGCTGTTGATCCTTCCCTCCTCTTCCTCCTCCTCCTCCTTCTCCTCCTCCTCCTCCTCCACCTTCTCCTCCTCCTCCTCCTCCTCCTCCTCCCTTCCTCCTCCTCCTCCTCCTCCTCCTCCTCCTTCTCCTCCTCCTCCTCCTCCTCCTCCTCCTCCTCCTCCATTTCATTCTACGGGAACGGAAAAGGAATCGGGGCTCCTGCCGAATTCTGCCCGCAGCGCTGGGTCCGAGATGTCCGAAGGTAGCGAGCCCACGAACAGCTTCCGGCCCGCTGTGCCCGCCATCGCCGCCCGCCGAGTACAGCTCTCACCTCGCGGCGGCGGGATATCCCGCCCAGGAGAAGAGCAAGGCGGAAGCTGAAATGAGGGAGGGGAGGAGTGTACGCGGCACGGGATGTCAAAGGGTACCTGGGGGAGCTCACTGAGGGCGTATCCCCCTGCACCTGCTCTTCCTGCCCCCCCACTTTTGTTGACGCTGGTCGAGCTTACAGCACCTAGCTTGTAGCGTTCTTCCTTCGACCCGGCCCCCTGCTCCTCATCCTACCTCCTCATCCTCATCATCATCCCTCTTCCCTCCGATGACCGCACGGATGGCCACAATCATGTTTGGCGGTGAAGAGCGCGAAGGGGCGGAGGAGAAGGTGAGAGGATGAGAAGGGAGGGGGATGAAGTGGAGGAGGCAGCGGATGAGGGGAGCAAGAGGCGGCGGATGAGGGGGATGCAGAACAGCAGGAAGCTGAGCAGGCGAATACATCAACACCGCTGACCCCCGCTTGTCGGGAATGAAAGCGCCTGTGGGACACGTGGCTGTTACCGCCGCCTTCTCCGCCCCTGTCCCCCTCCCCTGGGGTCCGACATCCCAGAGTGCAGGGGGGGGGACGGGGCAGGTGGGGCACGAGCTCTTCCACGCACCTAGGCCCTCGGAGCCTCCCAATCCGCTCTCTGTGGACGCGGCTGCCCAAGATGTCTTGGAAGATGGCTGCAGGATGGCTCCAACACGCCGGAGAACTACATCAGAAACGCACAGGATGGCCTCAAGGCTGCACAAGACGCCACCCCACGCTTGCAATGATTTCATGTATGGAGCGTGCTTGTTTACTCTGTTCGAGCCTGCCTCTCCCGAGGCAGGCCAATACATGATCCATGTTGCATGTTCTTCCTCCGCCTCCACGTCCTCTCGCTACTCCTCCTCCTAGCCTCTTTCCCCCCTCTTCCTTCTCCTCCTCGTTCCCCGGTTGTGGCTCGGGCGGGCATCCAGGAAACGATCCAGGGAACGTCCCTATCGTCCTCATCCACCTGACCCTCGCGTAACTCCTCATTCACACCCTTCTTCCTTCTGCCCATGCTGCTTGCCCTCCCTTCTGCACATCATTGCTCTCCTGCCCCTGCTGCTGCCCCAGGGGGCGGGAGGAGGCGGCACGCTGAATCCTCCTCCTCCTCCTCCTCTTCCTCCTCCTCCTCCTCCTCGCCCTCCTGGATCGCCGACACCTGGGGACGCATCTCCCTCCCTCTCCTCTCCTCCTCCCCTCGCCCCCCACCTCCACCTCTCGCCTCTCTCCCCCGACCACCTTGGGGGGCCTCTCCTCCCATGCCCTCTCCCTCCTCCCTCATCCCTCCTCCCTCATCCCTCCTCCCTTGGGGGGCTCTCCCTCCTCCCTCATCCCCTCATCCCCTCGGGCGCGAATTCATGGGGGGGGCAATCCATGGGGGAGAAGCACGCTGCCACCTTCGGGCCCCGCAGGCCCCCTTCGGAGCCCCAAAAGGGCCCCTTCACGGACCCTCAAGCTACTGGCCTGGAACATATATCCCTATCCCTATGCTGGGCACCTTCTCATCACGATGCCAATCTCAGGGATTCCCTTCTTTTTGAGGGCGAATCCCTAAGATTGTCATCGCCTGTTCGGCGTGTCAATCTTAGGGACAGGGATACGGTCGAGGCTGGTAATCAAGGGCCCCTCCTCTGCAGCTCTCGATGCCCCTCCATTCCCAGACCCCCGACGTCGTGATTTTTTCATGACGTCGCCCCCCAGAGGTCTGGACCCCTTCCCCAGGACCGGTTTTTCGTCCTGCATCGTTTTCTGACGGTCCCGAGGCCCGGGAAGGGCCCCCCGAGGGCGAAAATAGCGAAAAACCTCCCGTCGTGATTTTTTCGCGACGCGAGGGGGTCTGGGTGGATCGCCCCCCACTGCGCGCCCCCAGTCCCCTCTTGCCTCCTCGCCGCCCTTCCCGCCCCACGAGCCCACCGCCGCCCCACGGGGCGCCGCGCCCGATACGCGGCCGCGGCGGCCGCGCGCCCGAGAGCGCGCGAACCGAGCGCACCGCGAGCGAGGAAGGGGCCCCAGGACGCACAAAAATCAATACACCCTGCGAAATGCTTTAGAAATCATGGGTTAAGAAATTCATAGTCTCAGAAATTGATTACAAACCCAGGATTTCTATTGAAATCTTAGGATCTACATTGAAACATTAAGAATAATCGAGACTCTGGCCGAAAACTTAGGTTTCCTTAAGCATCGCCTGAGGTGTACACAGAAATACAACGATTCCCCATATTTTCCTACATGTTCTGGGTTCTTGCCTTCCCCCCCCCGCTTCCCATATTTTCCTTCTTTCTTTTCTGGGGAATCGAGGATTTGTGGTGTCCGTGTGTGTTTTTTCTCCTCCGGAAGCGAGTCTCCTCCTACTCTCGGGCCGGGCGAATGGGGGGGATAGCAAAGAGGGGGGGTGAGAATCAGCTCACGTGGCTGATTTTCCCGGCGCCTCCCGGCGCTGGAGGCGGCCATGCATGGAGGAATGGGCCCCATCGGTGGGGCCGAAACCAGCTACACGCTGCAGATTTCGTACCCCCCCCCCTTCCCTATCCCCTCCCTTCGTCTGGCCCGAACGGGCACGTAGAGGAGTCCACGGGCCCCGGCTGGGGGGCACAATGCCGAGGGTGGGAAACAGTACTACGTCCTTCGCCGCCGGGAGCGCTGTGCTTCCACCCCCCCTGAGTGACACCCCCCCCTTTCCCTATCCCCCCCCTTTCGTCCGGCCCGATACTCGGGGATGGACAGACCTCCCTTTAGCAAAACGTGGTTTAGTGAAAACGACCTGAGGCCCAAACCTGGCGGGCGCAAACCTGGAAAATGACGGCCACGGCGCCCTCTCGAGAACCGAAAACGGACAATTCACTGATCGACGTGTCACTGTTGGGGATTCTGTCCAGCCCCGAGATACTCCCCTTTCCTTATCCCCTTTCCTTCGGGGATCTTCTGACCCGGGTCAATCCAGACCCGGGTCAGCAAGAAACCAAAAACTGAAATTCAGGATAAAAAAAACTGCAACGCAGGTCTTAGCAAACCCGGGTCAGCCAATAGGCGCGGCCGCCTCGCGGCCACGAGCGGCTCGCTAACCCGGGTCAACCAGAGGGGGTCCTCGCAGGATCATGTTGGATCTGCCGCCCTGGCTGACCCCCGTTTGCATTGACCCCCGTCTCGAGGCTCCCGACTCCTTCTCCCCCCCTTTCGTCCGGCCCGATGCTCCCCCCCATGGGTCGCCGACGCCTTGGCGACGCCGCGGCGGGCATCCAAGGAGCGCACCCCCCCTCCGCGCCCCGCCGCGCGCGGGGGGGTCTGGCCCGTCGGGCCCCCGCCAAATGGCTCCGGGCGGCGCGCGCCAGCGACGGCGAGGGAGGAGGAGGAGGGAGGAGGAGGAGGAGGAGGAGGAGGAGGAGGAAGAGGAGGAGGAGGAGAAGGAGGAGGAGGAGGAGGATGGAGGAGGAGCATGGAAGAGGAGGATGGAGGAGGATGAGGAGGAGAAAGAGGCCTAGGAGGAGAGGGAGAAGGGGGAGGAAGAGGAGCAGGAAGAGGAGGAGGAGGAGGAAGAGGGGGAGTCGTCGTCGTCGAACGTGACGTAGGAGGCGGCGTCTTTGGCCTCTTTGGAAAGAGTAGGGTGAAATTTATGCTATCCCAAACCGGGATGGCATGGGCAGCTTCGCGCGCCATCGCGCCAAGCTTCCCATGCCCACGAACGCGGGCAACGATGCTCAGAAACCACCTTGGAGCGCACACGAGCCTAGGAACCGCTAGCCGGGAGCTTCGCAAACCATTGCAGCACACGACTTGGGAACGAGTAAGACAAAACGCCTTCCAGACAAGCTGCGCACTCCAGCAACCTGACGCTGTCTGCCCCGCTGCCGTGGAGAGCGTCGCAACCCCACGCGCCGCCGCGCCATCCAGGGCGTGCGATGGCGCGCGCCCGCGCGCGCGCCCGAGCACGCCCGCTTGCGCAGGCGCGCCCGCTCGCGTCGAAACCCTCATGGCAACTCGCTTGCGTGCGCTTGAAACAGCGCCTGGGCGCATGCGTGGGCAGCTTGCGAGCAACGGTGCGGAGTGCTGCCTCAGCGCCCAAAGCAACCTCGCGGAGCTGCCCAGGTGCCGCGCACGGGCCCGGGAGGCCCCGCCGAGAAGCTGCCCAGGAGCTGCGCGCGAGCCAAGGAAGTGCTGCCCAAATGCTTTGCAAACGCTTTGGGCGCCCGAGTTATCCGGGGTAACTCGGGCCCGGGGTAACTCGGGTTTGGATTCCCGAAAAACGAACCCGAGTTAGCCCTGACCCGAATTATCCCTGATGATTTGGGGCTCTGGACGCCCGAGTTATCCAGGGTAACTCGGGCCCGGGGCAACTCGGGTTCGGATTCCCGCAAAACGAACCCGAGTTAGCCCTGACCCGAATTATCCCTGATGATTTGGGGCTCTGGACGCCCGAGTTATCCAGGGTAACTCGGGCCCGGGGCAACTCGGGTTCGGATACCCGAAAAACGAACCCGAGTTAGCCCTGACCCGAATTATCCCTGATGATTTGGGGCTCTGGACGCCCGAGTTATCCAGGGTAACTCGGGCCCGGGGCAACTCGGGTTCGGACTCCCGAAAAACGAACCCGAGTTAGCCCTGACCCGAATTATCCCTGATGATTTGGGGCTCTGGACGCCCGAATTATCCGGGGTAACTCGGGCCCGGGGCAACTCGGGTTCGGATTCCCGCAAAACGAACCCGAGTTAGCCCTGACCCGAGTTACCCCCGATGACTCGGGTCTCTGAACGCTTGCGGCACACGTACTGGGAACAAGCAAGGGAAGCTCTTCTCAAACCCGCTGCCGCTCCTGCAACTGCTTACTTGCGGGGACTCCTGCCCTACAGCCGTGGAGAAGACACCGGCCTCGCCCTGCCTGCCGGCCTCTTCTCGAATAAACCCTTTTCGCTCTTCGACGAGATATCCGTGCAACTACCGGGGATGGGGATGGGGAGGGACAGGAACCAAAGGGGGGAGGAAGAGGAGAGGGGAGGAGAACCAAGAGGGAGGGGGGAAGGGGAGGGGCATGGAAGGGGGATGTGGAGGCGGATGCAGAGAAGGGAGAATACAGGAGGGGCAAGAAGACGACGCTCGTCTTGGATTGTTTTGTGCGCGTTGCGGTCGTGCCCGCCTGACATGCAGGGCCAAGGACGATCGAGATCGCTCTGACAGGGATGGCCAGCAGGCCAAGACGCCGCGCGATGAAGAGTCACAGTCGCATCCTCCTCCTGCTCCACTCCCATCCCTTCCCCTGGATGACATGACGACCGGAGCAGGATTCGACTGAATCTGATAGAGAGGTCCTCCTGACCCCCCGCCACAGAGAGGGGAGGGGGGAAAGGGGGTGGCAGTATCAGGTCGGGCATGTCCTCTTACCGGCGGACTTTGGACGAACAATTACAAAAGTCCGAAGATAATCAATCGAGTCGTCGTCTCCGTCATTCGTCAGTCGTCGTCTCTGTCATCCCCTGTCCCTGCGCCCCCCATTTCCCTGGGCCCGTCGTCGCTCCCCCCCCTTTCCCTGGGCCCTCCCTCCTCCTCAAGCGCTGGGCCCGTCGCCGCTCCCCCCCTCCTTCCCTAGGCCCTCCTCCTCAAGCGCGGCAGTCAAAGTGAAATTGAGCAACGTCACAATTGACTCGAAGGGAAGCCCCTTCCCTTTAATCCCTCCCCCGCCGGGAATGGGGGGAGGGTCCAGGGGGGGTCGCGGGGAGGTCCTGGGGGGGAGTCCTGGGGGGTCAGATACGACTCCCCCCTGGGGGGGTCCCAGAGCCCAAAAGAGTGCCAAGAATGCCCCAAGAGTGCCCCAAGAGTGCCCCCAAGAGGCCCCGAATCCCCGAACGATCTGTCCAAGACGCCTTGAACGCCCTTTGACGGCCCAAGAGCCCTGCAAGACGCACTTAGAGGCCTCCAGGAGCACTCCCACGAGGGCCCCAAAAGGAAAAAACGACTGAGTTCCCGTTAGATGTTGATGCGTTTCGGCGTGCTCGCCTCTTCTGCTTCCAGACGCTCCAGGACGGCCCAAGAGGCCCCCCAGATCGCTCCAAGACGGCCCACGAGGGCTCCAGGAGGGACCCAAAACAGTCCAAGAGGGCCCCAGGACGGCGAGAGAAGCCTCCAAGACGGCTCCAAGAGGGTGCCGAGACGAGGGACAAGAACGGACATTTCGAGCCCTCGGCCCCGAGACGCTCCCAAGAGGAACCCCGTGGCTCTCAAGAGACACCCAAGAGGCCCCAAGAGGCCCCCAAGAGGCCTCCAGGAAGCCCGGAGAGGCCCCCAAGAGGCCCCGAGAGTGCTTCGAAGAGACCCAAGAAGCATCCATGAGGACTCTGATCCACGTCAGCGTCGTTGTCGTCGCCGCCGCCATTGTCGTCGTTCCCCTTCAGGGTCGGCGGCACCGGTCGGAATGCCTTCGCAAATACGTGGCAAACGGATAAACAAATAAGAAAAAATCGTCCCGTCTATTTTTCTTATTATTGTTTTGCATATTCCTCCTGTAGAGGGATGCGGTGACAGAATGCGGTGACAGACCGTGCGGTGACCTCGAAATCCCCCAAGAAGTCACCGCACGGTCCGTCACTGCACGGTCCGTCACCGCACGGTCTTGGGACCTCGGAGGCCCCTGTCGCCCGACACGTCCTCGGAGAGCGACCCGAGTCCCAAAACCGCGCAGTGACCCCGAAGCCCCACCGACTCACCACACGGTGCGGTCACCACACCGTTTGGGGACCCCCGATTCACGGCAGCATGGGGACAACGGCAGGAGAAGGGGCCGGAGGCGGAGCGGGGCAGGGAGCTGCAGGGCAGCGTCCAGGGGCGGACAGCCTCGGGAGAGGAAGCCTCGGCCTGGGATCGGCGATGCACCGCCGACAGATCGTCGCCGGGGCTTCGATGGCGAAGACCAACTGAGCAATCAAGCAAGGGCCCCTTGGGAGGCAATTACTGGGAGGTCTTCGTCGGAGAGGCTAAGGAGGATTGAGCCCCATTTGGGAGCTGTTACGCCGGAGTGGGTCTCGGACTGAGCAGGATTAAGTCGGATTAAGCGGGATCAAGCGGGATTAAGCAGAATTATGCGGGATCAAGCCAGATTAAGCCGGACTTCGGACCAGGGCAAAACCAGAATTTGACCTCCCAGGAATTGTATCCGAAGACCCCTAATCCTTTGGGAGGGGACGTACGTCCGGAAGGCCACAAGCCTTAGGATAGGCGGTCTTGTCTCCAGATGTATCGAACCACACTGCCCAGAATCATTATCCCGAGAGCAAAGACGGGGCTGCGTCTTCATCGTGCTATTAGGGTTAGTGCTTCTTGTATTCTCGATGGCCAACGTTCCTGGGCGGGGTGGGCCATCGGGCCCCCATCGGACGCGAAAGGGCGACTGGGTGTCGGTGCATGCCCTGTGCCGATCCCCTCCCCCCCCCATCGCTGCCCCTGACGGGGAGAGAGGGGACGCGGGGAGCAAGGGGGGGAGGGAGGAACAGGGACGGGGACTGGATGGGAGGGGACAGGGAGGGAGGGCGAGATGAGTCCAGCGAGCCTCGCTTGCCGTGGGTGGAACAAGGGGACCCCCAGGATGGCCTCAGGACGGCCCAAGAGGCCTGGAGAAAGACCAGGAGGGGCACCGAGAACCCACAAGACGGCATCAAGGGGTATATAACAATCATTGATATTTAGAATCATTGGTTTCCCCGAATTGACGCATCCCCGACGTTCCAAAAGGGTCTGAACCCCGAGACGGCCGAAAAACCCCTCGCATCGCCCAAAGACGACGGAAGAGGCCCCCTTGGTCCTAAAGATTGCCAAAGAGGACCCGAAGACTTCCCAAAGGGCCCCGAAGCGGCCACAAGAGGCTTCAAGAGAGCCACAGGACGGGCCGGAGAGGCCGCAGATGAGGAGCTCGTAAGGGCCCAGGAGCCGAGCCATCCCCCACAGGATGGCCCCCAAGACGCCAACATTGAAGGGGCCCTGGGACACACAAATAAATACACACAAATAACAGGATTCCCCATAGTTTCCTATATTTTCTGGGCTTTTGTCATCCCCCCCACTTCCCATATTTTCTTATATTTTCTTTGGAATCGACGATTAATTGTGTCTGTGTGTTTTTTCCCCCTGCTGAAACATACACCCACGGTCCCCCGGGAAGCCCTCGAAGGGCCCCGCAAGACACTCGGGAGCCATGCACAGGCTCCGAAGAGGCCGCCTGCAAGACCTCCTCTCGAGGCCCCCACAGGAGACGTGGGGAGACACCCCAAGGTCTGCGGGTCTTCCGCCGAAGTCCATCCCAGAGGCCTCCAGGAGAGCCCGCGAACAGCAC